CCCCAGTTGACAGCACTTCAAATCACAGTACAGGGACGTCTGTGGGCAGAATTCCTACATTGCAGAGGATTGGACTAGATGACCCTTAGGGTTTCTGCCAACTCTACAATTCTATGATTCTTGCACTATCCATGCTCTAGCTGTTGTCCAGTCTGCTTCTTTGTCTGGAGCTACCTAGAATACCAAATGGCAACATCAGCTCCACAACGATGAAAAGGCGCCCATGAGAAATCATGTTGATAGCCCAAAGAATTTTACCATTTCATTGTGAAAGTAGGGTGAAAGGGTAGCCTGTTCACTGGCAAATCCCCAAAGCATTCAGAAATTCATTGGTTTCCATATTCTCACATTTTACATTTGTATAACAATACGTTGACCATTATAAGCATTCATAATATCTCAAGAATCCATAGCAATGTACTGTTGCCCTAGTAGATCCCAACAGCAATTGTTATGATAGAAATTAAGATAAAAATTGGTAATTTACAGAAGATACTTGGTGGCTCTTGAAATGTACCAGTGAACTGCATAAATGAATGAGTCACATTTCAACATTTACCCCAGCTCCAATGAAAATATTGCCATCTACCCTAAGGTGGTAGCTCTTTGTTAGGGCAAATTGCTTGGCATTGAGATTCACTGTTAAATAATCAGAGATATTTATGTCACAAGGTTTGTTTTGGGAAAGTACAAACTAGCTATGGTGAATCTTGTCCTTTAATACTAAATGATGGAAATGAGGACAGAACTTCGTAATTTACTGGCAATGCTCAGTTGACCTTGAGATTTTCTGTAAATGTCAGAGTTTTCTAACATTTCCCACTGGCCTCCTAACTAAAAGCTTATTGATAAAGGTCAGCACTAAACAAGTTCTATTTACCATCACATTTACATTGCCTTCATTAAGACAGTTATTAAATTTGCAATTCTGTCACTCAAGCTTAAATTTATCAACCAAAACTGGTCATCTTCTCCTACTCCTAAGTTTCACCCGACAAGCACTCAGAGCTGTGGTGAAAGACAGAAGGTAGGAAATGTAATTAATTTGGTGACTAGAACTCACGGCCCAGCTTTGGATGCTATGTGGATGACACTTAGCAAGAGATTCAGTCCCAGTTTTATTTCCCTACATTTAAGCAAGAGGGATAATAACGATAAGCTATTTTCAGATGATCAGTGTGAGCTAAATGAACGCATCTGGCAGCAGGGAGCAGGGCTGTGGTGGCAGGTCCCACACCCCACTCTATGTGCATTCATCAGACTATGAAAACAGACACAAGGCATGTGGAAACTTAAAAGCACAGGCTCTGTATTTGCAACCCGGACCTACAAAAAGCCCTGAAAGAGTACCCTAGATTGATTATCTGAAAAAGATATAATCTTGGAGAAATCAGAACAACAGTTATAGGAACTGTGATTACTGAGAATTAATGCACTCAGTAGATCCTTCTATAATCCAGGCTTCATTTTAAAACCCTCGGATATCCATTCAGTATATCCTCTTACAGCCTCAAGTCAGTTTAACCTTGTAACTCAGTGTAAAGTGCACTCCCAAAGTTATGTACTGCTGATACTAGCAGCAATCCAATTTGGACTTTTGTGTGTGTGTAGTTTACCCCTCTTCACTAGCTTGAAATGGCCCTTCTCCACTTTTATCCAAAGGTCTTTTACCTCTTCTCTGGATATAGTCCTGTACGGCTTGCTAAACTTCCAAACAAATTAGCACACAGGCCACTGATGGATATATGAGTTTTAAACTAGGGACATAAGTGTGTGGAAAAGCCTGATAGCTTGGAGGCAATGCTCTTTGAAGGCTCAGGGGACATTCAAGCTTTGGAGACATTTTCAGAATATCTGCCCCATTGAACCATGCGCCATGGAGGAAGGTGTTTGAGATGAAGATGTGAACGTCTAAAGCAGGAACTATTTCAGCTGGAAATTTCTACATGGCACAGCTTTAAAGGAAGGTTTCAAAAAGTAAGCTTAAAAGACTAAGTGGAAACATGTGATCTCATCCCTTAATTTAGCAGTGTGGTGTAAGAAGCTCTGTTTGTGTACCACACACTTGGCATGAACTCCCACCTACCACCAGCCACTTCTAAAAGCTGGCCTCTTTCCTTCGTTATAGTACTTTTTAAAATAACAGTTTCCATCTCCTTAATTCTATGATGACATCATTTTATCTACAAACTAAAGTGTGAAAAGTGTACATTGTGGTTGAAATAAATGGTAATTCTCCCTTTTACTTTCATACAGGGTGGCGTCCTTTTGCTACCCCCTTTCTTGTGGATTAGATCCCATTCTCTACATGCTATCCTAAAGCCTACATACACAAACAGAAAGAAAATATATAAAAATGTGCTTCACAATGGGACATAATTCCAGAAGACATTGGCTATGTACACATTAGCAGCTTAAAATGCAGTGAGGTCATTCTCCTCTCTGCCCCATTCCATTTTTAAATTGCTGTTCATACTAGACAGACGTTGGAGAGGTCTTCATCCAATGAGCTTTAGCTGTTTGGTTTCCCCATGCCTGCGACCCGACTAAACTCCTCTTCTATGAAGCGGTCATCTGAGCATGCACAAAGGTTTTCTGAAATGTTCACACCTCAGCTCAACTCTCACACCTCAGCTTAAGCTCACAAGTCAGACAGAAGCTGATTTGCAGGCAATCACATCAAACCTCTGTATTTCTTGAGAAATTTCAGGATATATATGGGTTGTGGCCAATGTCATGTGTACTCTGTTTCAAACACCAGCAGTGGGAGTGCACTGGAGCTGGAGTAAATGGCAATGTACACACAGCCATTGCAGGGATCAGCCAAAGTGTGAGCTTTTTGGAAAGTCTGGCATTCTTCTGCTTTCTCTAAACGATGTGTGGTTTGTTTTTGTTTATTGATATTTTTAAAAAGTGACCGTAATATATCAAGCCTTTCAGAATGCTTTCCATTTACCATAAGTAGTCCTCTTTGCTGTGTGTGGAAAGTTAGGTTCGTACAGACACCAGCTTCTTCCACAACTGAGTTTGCACTAAAATGCTGTTAACTGTATCTGGATGAATATCCCATCTGTTCACAGTTGTTAACAATTAGAATCCCAAATTAGTCCATAACCATGCACAGAAAAGGTGATTAAAAACCTACCCTTCCCCAGCCTTACTCCAAACATGACAAGGTCGTTATCAAACAACAACAACAACAATTTATTTGTATCCCACCCATCTGACGGGGTTGCCTCAGCCATTCTGGTTATTAATAGTTATTAAACAGGAGCTAAGCTGGTTATGTTTTTGATGTGTTTTTTTATTTAAAACTTTTGGAATGTAGTTTTCACTATGTGATTGTTGATAATCCCAATCCTACTGACTACATTATACACTAGGTCTTGTCCAGGCTGCAGCTTGGATTATTTTTTTCATATCACTTTTCTTCCACCACAGAACCCAAGGCAACAAGCATATGGTTCCCAGGTCTGTTTCGCTTCAGCAAGGGTCTCATTTCCCTTCATTCCATACCTATGTCTGGGTTCAATGCTGTGGTGCCAAGCTGCCTGAATGGCACTGTGGGGATGGGACAACTGACTGAAAAAGATGTAAATCACTGTGGGGGTTTTGTTTTAAAGACACTCTTTCAGACCACCAGTCACAGGGCCTGCTAAGAAAGGATCAGCCGGGATAGCTCAGTTGGTTAGAGCATAGTGCTGAAAATGCCAAGGTTGCAGGTTCAATCCCTGTATGGGACAGCTGCATATTCTTGCATTGCAGGGGGTTGGTCTAGATCAGGGCTTCCCAAACTTGGGTCCCCAGCTGTTTTTTGGACTATAATTCCCATCATCTCTGACTGCTGGTCCTGCTAGCTTGCGATGTTGGGAGTTGCAGTCCAAAAACAGCTGGAGACCCAAGTTTGGGAAACCCTGCTCTAGTCTCGATGATCCTCAGGGTCCCTTCCAGCTCTACAGTTCTATGATTCAGTTCAGGGCAGCGGGGCCAAAGTGCAGTGCAGCCAAAGCAGCACATCTGACACCTGAAAGGCGCCACCTGTGGAAACCACTTAGAGGTCGCGCAGCAGCAGCACCTCTGGTGGAGCAAACGCACTGCAACACAACATGTTGTCTCTGCCACCTGGACTAGAGGGGTGCAGAACCAGGCTGTGTCCTGGCACCGCCATGCTGAGGCTTACAGGCTCCCACTGGTAGCATCTGTTACTTCAGAATAAGGAAGATGTCTCTGTTCATGCTCATAATGGTACAAGCTCAGCGGCAAGCACAAGTCCCAGAAGTCAGGATTCCAAGGCGCATGAGCAAGGCAAGAGGTCCATAAGCAAATGGAAGCTGCGAAGATGTCCCAACAAGTGACATTCCCCTCCTCCCAAGTTTTCAAAGATAAGGCAGGGCAAACTCTGCCATAAGACTGTCTTGTCCTGTGTGTCTGCCACAGGTACACATGTCTGCTCTGTCTGCTCTTATTGTGCCTGGTGGGGATGGAGAGAACTGGCAAATCTACTTCCCTCTCTCTGGCATCTAGAGCCAAAAGTGGAGGACCAACAGGTTGACTCCATTACCTTTTGCAGGACCAGGCTGTGTCCTGGCACCACCCTGCTGAGGCTTACAGGTGTTGGATGTACTGCCTGTTATCTACCTGGTACCTGAGAAACCCTCCGCCTGGCAGGGCGCGCGTCGCTCCCCTCCTTCCGTCCCGCGTCCACGAGGCACGTGCCACCTCTCTTCCCCGCTCCGCCTCTCAGCCCCAGGACTCTGAAGAGGAGCACGTGTCAAAGGCTTCTCCTGTTGAACTTCTGCCTGTCTGACGAGAGAGGAGGGGGCTCCTCGTTGCCCAGCCGCGAGCTTCTGCCCCCTCAGGACCTTCGCTTCGCCGCCCCCCGGCTCTCCTCAGGGCTCCTCACGCAGGTCGCGCTCTCCTCCTCCTCCTCCTTCTCCCGCGCTTTCCTCAGCCCTCGAGGCCCGCTGACTCCGCGGGGGCGGGGTGACGCCGGGCGCCCGCCCCGTCCAATGAGCAGGCGCGGCGCCTGGCGGAGGCGCCAGGAGGCTGCTTCGGCCAGCTCAGTCCCCACAGCTTAGCGGTCGGCTGAGGTGCGCGCCTGGCGCGGGTTCAGCGGGCGACGAGGATGCGCCGCTGGCCGCTGCTGCTGCTGCTCTTGTGGGGGCTGCCCGCCGTGCCCGGGCGCCACTACCCGCACAGCGCCGTGCTGGACGGGGCGTCCCGCTACCGGCTCTCGTGGGCTGCGCAGGGCAGCTCCATCGCTTTCCGCCTGGAGGTGCGCGCGGCGGGCTACGTGGGCTTCGGCTTCTCGCCCACGGGAGGCATGGCTTCGGCGGACATCGTGCTGGGCGGGTTGGACGCGGGGAAGCCCTACCTGCAGGTGAGGCGGACGGGCGCCTTGGACAGCGCTGGAGGGGGGGGGCAGAGTACGATCTGATCAGGGGCGGGGGTCTGGCTCACAAGTGCATTGGGGGGAGGGAAGGAGAAGAAGGGCTGGCTCCCCCTTCCAGGACCACGGATCCAAGCTCCTTAGGGGTCCAGGCTCCAGCTGCTCAGTGGAATGGGCAGCCGTGCACTCTGTGCATGCTCAGAGCACGAGGGTCCATTATAAAGCGGCTGGTGCAGTGAAGGGCAACAATGGGACAGCCACCAAATCGCGACCGTTTGGGGCAAGGGGCAAAATGGGATCTCATGCTTGCTTCTCCTGAATAGTCATTTAGTATGCCGTTACTACTATTATCATTTTCGATTTATATACCGTTCTTCATCAAAAGAACTCGGGGCGGTTCACAAAAAACAAACCTGGTGTCAAGGGATAGGTTTCGAGAAACCTCCTTAAGCGTTTTCCGTGAACTTGCTGGGTTGTAAAAAGAATTAATATGAGGAAACATTCAAACATGTATTGGAGTTATTCTGGCATGTGTGGGGCGTGTGTTTTTATGGGGAGGGTGTGTGCCAGCAATCCTATGCGAGACAGAGAGTAGAAGAAGACTTTAAAGAGTTTTTAAAAATTTGACCTATTTTATGAATAGCCTTATCTCCCAGGTTAGAAGCCTAGTGCTGAAGCTGGTTCTGAATTTGACAGGTTTGAGAGTTAATCCCTGGGCAAGACTTGGGTCCATCTAAGACCCTTCTAAGGTGAGCAGATGAGTGACCAGATGGGTAGGGTGCTCATTGGAGGAAAAGGCAATGACATACAAGTAATTTTCTGCCTTTCATCTGTCTGTTTCTCATCTGGCATTGGCAGAGCATTCATAGTATGTAAATCTGTGTTCAGTTGAGTTTAAGGTGAGTGTGCTTAGGATTGCAGCCCTAATTTTTAGCATTGTTAATGATGACAAGCCCCAATGTTCATGTGACTGTGTTCACACTTCATGTGCACAGATTCAGGAATTAATATTATTAGTAATAGAACGTTGAATATTTGTCCCCTTGTAGGGATGGGAGAATCTGGAGATTTTTGTTTCTCCTCGGTTTCTCATTTTTTCATTCTCTTCAGTTCAGCAGATTTCTACATCAGTTTGCAGTTACATAAAAGAACAAACTTTGACAAGCAGGACTTCTGCAAAGGGAGGTTTTGTGTCACACACCTTTCGGAATTCTTTTAGTGTGTCCACATGTATTCAGTTGAGGGAGATCTGGTTGACATTATATACTTAGACTTCCAAAATGCTTTTGATAAAGTTCCTCACAAAAGGCTCATGAGTAAACTTAGCAGCCAGCCACATTGTAGGAACACAGGAAACTGCTTTATATCATCTAGCACAGATTAGTGACAATATAAAGGTTCGATTACCACAAAGTAGGCATTTATCTTTTTTCTTTAGTATTTACTTATGTTTATATAAGTAAACATAAGTGAATTATTATGTTTGCAGCATATTGGTGCACACAATATGGTGCTTTACATAGCTTTATTTTTTAAAAAAGGCCCTACTCCCAAGAAACTTGCAATTCATGTGCTCCATTAGATAAAACTGCTTTGCTTCCATCAAGGAAAATATAGATCAACATCTAGCTGATCGATCTGTGAAAGTTCATAGTGGAAGATCTGAACAGTGGAACACTGAAGTGTTTTTACATAGTATTTATAAGAAAAACACACATATATATACACAAACAAGCCAGAGCTTTCTTTTTTCCCAGACTTTTAAAAATTTAAAATGCCCCACCAGGAATTGATTTCCCATATCCCCACCCAAAAAAAGAAAAATTTGCCAAGTACTAGAGATCAGGAAAACTTTTAAATAAAAAACATAAATAATTTTCTCTCTGTGTGCCTTTTGATGTTACCTGGGGCTTTTGCTTCAGTATCTGGTATGATGAAACAGAACTTGAAAGATGCTTCTACTAACTCCTTGTAAATAGATCAATCAGGTTGAAGGGTGCAATTATGTTATGGAGACAAAAAGGAACTTTACAAAGGGTCCACACATTCTTTCAAAAACTGTGGTTGAGTGGAGAGGGAGCCTGGAATGATGCATTAGTGGCCGAGCATTCCAGGAGCTCAGAGATTAGAGTGGGAACCCAGCTCTAACTATTTGGAAAGTGCAAGACTTGTGTCTAAATAAGAGTGGTCTCTCAAGCATGCTTAATAGCTGTTCTATGAGGGGTGGGAAAAGAGTGAGAGTTGAGCTAAGGTGGCGGGGGAGGGGGGAGAGAAAGAGAAAGAGAGAGAGCACTCACTACAGACACATTTGTAGGCCAATGGTAGCAAAGTAGCTGCAGACGGGTGGAGCTATTATTATGAATACATTTAAGCATGGAAAAAGCACATGTACCTCAGTGCAGTGAAGCGAAGATACTTGATTGGTGCTGCCTCAGAGAAATTGCTCAGTCTGTCTGCACTTGTAGTTATATTGCCGCTGCAATAGTGCCAAAGTGGGTTTCTTGGCGGATTACTTGCCATGAGAGTGCCCAAGGCAGCTCTAATATTTGCATCTAGCTTTTTGAAAGACCCTCTCTTTTTTGCTCATGAATTGACACAGCTTGCATTTTCTTGCCTCCTCCGTGGTCTCCGCCCCTATCTGGAATTGTGCGTCCCCACCCGCAGCCTGCAGTAGCTGTGACATCCATTTTTGCAGAGGGTAATCCTTCTTTATGAATGCTTGTTTTGTGCAAGTTCTACAGAACATTGCATTGCAAACCCTTCTGTTGAATTCTTGCACAAAAATAGCCCTTACTTGAGGCATAAATCCTTTTGTGAATAGCTCTTCATTAATACTTGATAGCACTGTGTTCATTATAACCCTTGCTTGTTAGCTGAAACCCATAACGAAGAATATTTGTTTTATCAAATACAATCAGTTTTGAGATGTTACAGAGGAACAATCAGAATAGATTTTGAAAAGCGAGAAAACGGTGAACGGAACCATATTCTTCTTTTAAATGCACTCATGCCAACATAAACAAAGAAATGCTAAGAAAACAAACAGAAAAGCAGTAAGGGGAGATATGTCAGTGTGACACACACTTTATATGTCAGCTGGTGTTTGGCTGGAGGCATTTCAGTACGAAGCCTCCCTGTATTGACTTAACTATGGGGTGAGTTTGTAGTGTAAGAGCATTCACACTTGAGAAACCAGAACAAAACAAAGTAGTTGGCATCTTGCTCCATATTTACTGGCCTTCCACACAGCAGACCTGCTTCTTCTCAACATGTGTTTAAATCTGCATTAATTCAACAACCATTTTGAAGAAGTGTGAGTACAGATAGAGGTTTTCCACACGGCTGAAACAAATTGTGAAGAAAGGACACAATTTCTGAAGTTGTATTCTTTTACCATGAGGTGTAGAAACAAGTGTTATTTTTAAGATAAAATCCCTCACAGACACCCCCCTCTTCTCAGCTTTTCCACAGATATACAAAATACCTATAGCCCTGGTTGGGACCCTCTGCTATAATTAATCAAGCCCGGCAGGGGAAACCCAGCCAGAGGGGCAGGGTGTGGTCTCTGTTGTGTTAGGTTGTAAACCTGCATAATTCCCCAAAGCCAGGTTAAATGATAATAAAGGACTTGTCAGCCTGCCAATTCTAAATGGTTCCCCACCTAAAAATGCTTGAAGCAATTCTTTTTTTGGTTCTTTATTACATTTGAATCCTTCCAGTGAATCTCAGACTGACATTTTACCCTCACAACAAGTTAAGCTGAGAGCTTAACTTGTGCCAAATGTGAATGTGGACCTGGCACACTAGTCACTGTACTAGTCTGACTTGAGTGGTACAGAATGAAAACTCTCATCCATAATTTGCATTCACGTGGAACAAAATTTACATCTCACAAGCATAATGGCCCATATGCCCTGGTAGAATTGCATAATCAGGCTATCAAATAATCTTGTGACCCTTTGTGTCGGAGTGCCCCAGTGTAGTTGAACATATTATTCTCACTTCCTTTACTAATGGAAGGAGGCAACATATATTGCAGGTTGTCAAGTAGTTGGAGGGTATCTTCTCCATAAAAACACCTGTTCAAGGATAGAATGACAGCTGTGATTCCTCCCCCCGCCCAAGGTTCCTTGTGCAGCTCTGCTTACATTCTTCAAGGATAAAACAGGGCTTATTTACATATTTTTACTACATCCATAAGAAAGTACTCTCCTTGCCATTTTGTATAGCACTAATCAGAAACCATATCAACTGCAAATCCCTTTTGAGAGAGCGAGAGCAGGGTCAACAGCATGTGAGGAGCAATTCATCATCAATGCCTTCATCTGTAGGAAATTATATACCTCATCTTTTATGATCCGTAAAATCAACTTACCATGTGTTGCTTCAATTTCTAAATTACTTCCAGTGCATGAAAGACATCTAATTGTTTGACTACACCCACAAGCCAATAATTGCTTACGGTAGTTTTCTTTAAAAAAAAAAAAAGTGCTGATTTTAGGCAGTATCGTTACTTCAAAACATGCTAAACTTTGTCATTATGTAGTCTACATCCAGGATGAACAGCACATCACATGTGGTCAGTGGGGATCTAAAGCTCTCTTTACACAATGTTTTGAGCTGACATGGTTCTTGCCATTGACAGGGTAGCATCTATTACTTCAGAATAAGGAAGATGTCTCTGTTCATGCTCATAGTGGTACAAGCTCAGCGGCAAGCACAAGTCCCAGAAGTCAGGATTCTAAGGTTCATGAGCAAGGCAAGAGGTCCATAAGCAAATAGAAGCTACGAAGATGTCCCAACAATTGACATTCCCCTCCTGCGAAGTTTTCAAAGATAAGGCAGGGCAAACTCTGTCACAAGACTGTCTTGTCCTAGACTTCCAGGGTGGCGCCATCGGTAATGGCGGATTCCCTCTGACTCGGAGAGGACTGGCTCTGCGGAAATCGGGTCTGTACCGCTACGGCGAAGTGGGGACCCTCTAAAAATCACAGGCGGGTGAAGCCTGTGACCGTGGGACTCGGCGGGCACACTTTGCGCGCCCCCAATTTGCAAAGGAGCCCAATTACGGGTTCTGGAGTGAAGCGGGGAAGCAGCGCGGTGCTGTGAGTCAACTGCTTCTTCCGTGGAGCGAAGCCGCACAGCCGTTACTGGAGAGCGCTACCTTTTTCCTGTGACAATTTGGCTACAAAACAACGATCCGTGAGTAGGTTAATTTGGGAATTAAAGGAGAACAAAGAATAAAGAAGTAATTTGATACCGAAGCGGAGAGGCACAAACAGGAAGTCTGCCTTCCGTTCTTTGTAAATAGAGTAAAGCAATGAACTGGCAAGCTAAAACCTTGAAAGACGTTTGAAAAGGACTATAATTCTATCATCAAAACAAGCGATTTCCCCCCTTGTTTGCAGGAAAGGAGGGGGGAAAGGTGTGAACTGTATTTCCCTGCAAAAAGAGAGAAAAGGAAGCTAAAATTCACTGCTTAAACCCTAGGAACGGGCTGCCAATGAACAATAAGAATGCCGTACTGTGAAATGCGCTATTGGTGAAAGTACTTTTTGACAGCTAACTCTGCAAGTGAGATACAAGTGGGATACAATATCTTTGGCTGGCTTCTCCTGGTTTCAAAGTAACTGGAAAATAACTGAAAATTGAAACTGTCGTCTATTTTGTGAACTGAGGCGATTAAAAGAAAAAAGGTTATTTATTTTAAGGTAACAACTTTGGACTGCTACTGTGTCCCCCTAGAGGAAGTTTGAAACTGTTACAACAATAACTGGGCCAGGGGAATTTTCCACTTCAAAACAAATTCTGGTCGTGGGATTGACCTTGGGCCTTATCTAGAGTGTTATGGCAAATGGAAAAGAGAAAATAGATTTGCTTCAGGAAAAAACAACGAGGTCTGGTAGATCATTTCGCCCAGACATTGGGCTGCAGCGAAGAGCATCAACATCTGGCCCTTCTGGCTTACCAACAGGGGCTGCATTGGTACAATCTAAACCCAAAGGAATGGCATCCGAAGATGCTTTAGCTCAGGCACTAGGTAAAATTAATGAATCTCTGGAAAAAATAAGTAAACAAGTAGCTGAAGCATCAGTTAAAATTGATCAAAATACCACAAGTATTAACAATTTGGGACAGAAGGTAAATACTAACACAGAAACCATTGAGAAATTGCTACAGGAATCTACTTCGACCCGAAAGACAGCTGAAGAAGCAAAGGAAATAGCAGTTGCTGTAGAAGAGAAGATACCGCCGATACACAAGCAACTTGAAGACCACAGGTTAATACTGTCCACGATTGAATTGAAGGAGAAACAAACGAATTTGAGGATCAGGGCCGTACCTGAACTTGAGAAAGACAATTTGACTGACTTCCTTACCCAGGAATTTGCAGACTTTTTGAAGCCAGACTCGGAGAAGGACAACTTTAAGATAGTGAGCGCTTTCAGGCTTGGAAGAGGAGGGAAGAAGAACAGGGTGAGAGACTGTTTGATCACCCTCCGAACAAAAGAGGAGAGAGACAAAATCTTGAGTCTGCACTTCAAGAAGACTTTGGAAATACATCAGTCAAAGGTGGAGATATTTAAGGACATTCCGAAATATCTTTTGGACATTAGATCCAATTATAGAGATTTGGTTGCCCTGCTGAGAAGCAACAAAATTATCTTTAGGTGGGAATTCCCCCAAGGCCTTTCCTTTAGTTTCAAAGGAAGAAAGATAAAAATAAGATCAGAGGACGACAAAGAAAGATTTCTGAGAGACCACGGAGAAGACCTGCAGAAAGAAGCTGGAGAAGAGTCAAGAATACTAGAAAGAGGAACTTTAGACATATCAAGACTACCTTTTGAATTAAAAGACCACCTGGAGAAGGAGATACCACCGACAGAACAGGAACAGGCACTTGGTGCAGTTGGAGGAGAAGTAAAGTAACTACATCATGGCTCTGCAACTATTAAGTTGGAATTGTAATGGTCTCAACTCCCCTCAGAAAAGGAAATCTGTGTTTCATTTATTAAAAAAGGAACAATTGGACTTGATTTGTTTACAGGAAACACATGTACCAAGGTTACATAGGAAAGTATTGATTAACAAAAGACTGGGCCAGGAATTTATTTCTTCGGATAAAGTTAAAAAAAGAGGAGTAGTGATTTATGCAAAGGAGAGACTATTACCGAAATTTATCTTTAAAGATGATCAAGGAAGATTTGTGGCAATTGAAATTCAAATACAAGGAGGGGAATTCTTAATAGTAGGAGTTTATGCACCAAATGAGGGGAAATCTGAATTCTTTAAAAAGTTGCATGAGACCTTGATGGACTATTTGGACTATTTGGACTATAATGTAATTTTGATGGGAGATATGAATGGAGTGGTATCTACACATATGGACAAGGCACAAAGACAGGTAGTCACTAAGGTTGGTAGACAGACAACTTGGACTTAGTTGATATCTGGAGAACAAAGAATCCCCTGGCCAGAGAGGGAACCTTCTTTTCTGAAGCCAAACTGACATGGACAAGAATTGACCAAATATGGTTAACTAGAGGAATGGCACCAAATACAAGAAAAGTGGAAATCTGCCCAAAAATCTGCTCCGACCATAATGCTGTTAAGATGGAGATGAAACTAACACCAACTGGCTCCTTCAGATGGAGGATGAATGACACCTTATTTAGAGATGAAGAAGTCATTAAGAAGGCCAAAAAAACCTTGAGAGACTATTTTGAGATAAATATGAGCACCAATGTGGAAAAAAGAGTAATCTGGGACGCAAGCAAAGCTGTTATGAGAGGGTTCTTGATACAACAGAATGCATTAAAGAAGAGAATCCAAAATGAGAAGAAGGATAAAATATTGGAGAAAATAAAGGAAAGTGAAAAGAAATTGAGAGCAAAACCAAAGTCGCAAGAGATTTTGAGAGAAATAAAGTTATATCAAGTACAATACATGAAAATGATGAATCAGGAGATAGAATGGAAAATTAAACAAATGAGACAAAAGACATTTGAGTCGGCTAATAAATGTGGGAAATTGTTGGCTTGGCAAATGAAAAAACGACAAAAACTAAATACTGTCACAAATTTAGAAGTGGAAGGAAGGAATATACAGAACCCAGTTGAGATTAGAAATTGTTTCCAGAGGTATTTTAAACAACTATATACACAAGGGCCACAGAAAGAAATTGATGTAGACCGATTTTTGAAAACAAATGGATTACAAAAAATCTCTCAAGAAAATAAATTAATGCTGAACTATAAAATAACTGAACAGGAGGTAGAAGGTGCCATTCAGAATATGCAACTAGGTAAATCTCCAGGACCGGATGGACTGACTTCTAGATACTACAGATCCTTGAAGGAATGGTTAGTACAACCTTTAAAGGAAGTCTGTAATGAAATAATGGGTGGGAAAAGGGCACCAGAGTCGTGGAAAGAAGCGTATATTACACTTGTACCGAAAATAGAGACTGAAAAGACCCAACTTAAGAACTACCGCCCCATATCACTGCTCAATGTGGATTACAAAATCTTTGCAGACATTTTGGCTAAAAGACTAAAAAGAGTCCTAATGGAAGAGATACATAAAGATCAAGCAGGCTTTCTCCCAGGTAGACATTTGTCTGACAATGTGAGAAACATAATCAATATTTTAGAAAAACTACAAGTGAATATAAATACCAAGGCAGTTTTGATATTTGTGGACGCGGAGAAAGCCTTTGACAATGTTTCTTGGAGTTTCATGAAGAAGAACCTACAGGGGATGGGGGTAGGCCAAGGTTTTGAAAACGGTATAAGTGCAATTTACTCAGAACAAAAGGCTAAATTAATTGTAAATAACGTGGTGACGGAGGAATTTAAGAAAGAAAAAGGGACACGACAAGGTTGCCCAGTCTCTCCTTTGCTATTTATATCGGTCCTGCTGAATATGATTAAGAAGGGACCAGTTGGTTAAAGGTATACAAGTCGGAGCTAAACAGTACAAACTGAGAGCATTTGCAGATGACTTAGTATTGACATTGCAGGAGCCAGAATCTAGTACTAAAAGGGTTTTGGAACTGATTCAAGAATTTGGTCAGGTTGCAGGATTTAAATTGAATAAGTTAAAAACAAAGGTCTTAGAGAAAAACTTAACTGTGATTGAGAAAGAGAGGTTTCAGAATGAGACAGGTTTAACAGTGGTTAAGAAAGTGAAATACCTGGGGATTAACATGACAGCAAAAAATGGGAATCTATTTAAAGACAATTATGAGAAATGCTGGGCTGAAGTGAAAAAAGACATAGAAATTTGGTCAAATTTGAAGCTTTCACTGCTAGGCTGTATTGCTGCGATAAAAATGAATGCATTGCCTAGAATGTTGTTTTTGTTTTGGACAAAATGGATTGCTTCAAGAAGTGGCAGAGAGATATTTCTAGATTTGTCTGGCAGGGCAAGAAGCCTAGAATAAAATTTAAAATACTAATGGATGCAAAGGAAAGAGGTGGATTTGCCCTGCCAGACCTTAAACTTTATTATGAATCAGCAGCTTTTTGCTGGCTGAAAGAATGGCTGCTTCTTGAAAACAGACATTTTGGACTTAGAAGGTTTTGACAATGTATTTGGATGGCATGCATATTTGTGGTATGATAAGGTCAAAGCACATAAAGCATTTAAAAATCATATTGTCAGGAAAGCATTGTTTAATGTCTGGATAAGATATAAAGACCTACTGGAAAATAAAACCCCAAGGTGGCTGTCACCGATGGAAGCGAAAGCTCTGAAAAAGCTCAATATGGAGGCCAAATGGCCGAAATATTGGGAAATTCTGGAACAAGAGGGAGACAGATTGAAACTGCAGAGTTTTGAAAAACTAAAAATAAAGTGCGAGATTGGCTTCATTATTATCAGATAATGGAGGCATATAATTTGGACAAGAAAATTGGCTTCCAGGTGGAAAAATCAAAATTAGAAACAGAACTGTTAGAACCCAAAACTAAGATTTTGTCAAAGATGTATAACTTGCTGTTGAAATGGAATACTCAGGATGAAACGGTGAAATCTGCTATGATTAAATGGGCACAGGATGTTGGACATAACATAATGATGGCTGACTGGGAACAGTTATGGACCACAGGTATGAAGTTTACGGCATGCAATGCCTTAAGAGAGAATATTATGAAAATGATATACAGGTGGTACATGACCCCAGTCAAGCTTGCAGAAATCTACCATTTGCCCGATAATAAATGTTGGAAATGTAAGGAAACTGAAGGTACATTCTTTCACCTTTGGTGGACGTGCCTAAGGATTAAGGCTTTCTGGGAGATGATATATAATGAATTGAAAAAGGTATTTAAATATACCTTCTTGAAGAAACCAGAGGCCTTTCTCCTGGGCATAGTCGGCCAATCGGTGTTAAAGAAGGACAGAACTTTTTTTATGTATGCCACAACAGCAGCAAGAATACTCATTGCAAAGTATTGGAAGACACAAGATCTACCCACTCTGGAAGAATGGCAGATGAAGGTGATGGACTATATGGAACTGGCGGAAATGACTGGCAGAATCCGAGACCAGGGACAAGAGTCGGTGGAAGAAGATTGGAAGAAATTTAAAGACTATTTACAGAAATATTGCAAAATTAACGAATGTTAGAATGATGTTGGATTGAAGTTAAGTGGTTTCTAGCTGTAATGGTATAAAATAATATGAAAGAATTGGATTTTTAACAGGTAAAAATTTAATGCTATAATATATTAAGATTAAGGATCAGGATAAAATAAGGAGGGAAAGGAATTGCTGAACTAATAAATTGAACTGGAATACAAGAAAGGGAGGTATGAGGAGGTCCGGGAAACAAGTAAATGAAAGATAAGTGACAAAAAGATGTAATTGTTTTTAACTGTTTTTTATTTTGTATTTTTCCTTTTTTCTTTTTCATTATGTAATATTGTGAAAACTTTAATAAATATTTATATAAAAAAAAGAAGATTGGAAGAAATTTAAAGACTATTTATAGAAATATTGCAAAATTAATGAATGTTAGAATGATGTCAGAATGAAATTAAGTGGTCTTAGCAGCAATGTTACAAAGGTGTATGCACAAATGGATTGTTAACAGATGAGAATCTAAAGTTATAATATGTTAAGTTAAAGGATTAAGATAAAAACAAAGAGGGAAAGGAATTGCTGAATTAACTAATAGAACTGGAATACAAAAAGGGAGGTGTGAGGAAGTCAGGGAAGTAAGGAAATGAAATGTAAGTTATGGAAAGATCGATGTGTTTTTTTATTAAGTGTTTTTTGTATTTTGTAATTTTTTCTTTTTTATTTCTTTTCTTTTTTCTTTTCTGTTTATCTATGTAATCTTTTCTTTGAAACTTTAATAAATATCATTAAAAAAAAAAAAAAAGTTCTTAACAGAAAAAAAAAGACTGTCTTGTCCTGTGTGTCTGCCACAGGTACACATGTCTGCTCTGTCTGGGGGGTGCATCTGATCTTACCTACAAAGGTGGTGCCTGGTCCACAATTGGGGGGATGGAAAGAACTAGCAAATCTACTTCCCCCTCTCTGGCCTCTAGAGCCAAAAGTGGAGGACCTCCTTCCTCCATCTCTGGGTGCCAACCTTCCAGCCCCCACCCCACCCATCTTCCTATCCTTCCTGGGGTTGCCAAGCCACATCCTGATGGAGTCAAGGAGTCATTATCATAGTTCTTCTCATATATCTTTGCCAATGTGGTTAGGGCAGACTACATTTATATACAGTGTTGACGGTTGCCACTGTGATGCAGAGCCACACAGTGCCACATCATAGGCGGAGAATAACTCCTTACACAAAGCTGCTATGATGATCATGATAATAGAGTAATTCAAGGTAGCATGTAAACTCAGAATATTTTGCCTCATAGGAGGTACGGGAGGCAGGCGAGTGAACTGACTGAATGTCAATATCTTTGTTGAGCTGTTACATGAGTTATCTTTTGTGGACTGGAAATGTTTGTCCACTAATATATACTGGTTTTCTTGGAGATGCATACCTTGGCTTATCCACCCAAATTGTTTGTGTTTAGTTTCTGTTCATTTATTTGGTCTGTTGTCTGCCCCACCCCTTTTCTTTTACATGTATCTCTAATAAAATTCTTTTTTAAGAAGAAAGAAAGAAAGAACTGCTGGAAAAATGCGTCCGAAAGCATAGTAGCTACAGCTTACTCAACACCTCATTTTGGAGTGTGGTCCTGGCCAACTCACTCTGAGCAAAATAGAAAACAAATGCACAAATGCCCCCACAAGCTAAGAAGAGAAAATTAGATGACATTACTGTCCTGGTCTCTAAGTCTATGGAAGTTTTTTGTGAATTAGCATCAGAGAATTTTAAGTCAGTCACAGGACTTATGGTGACCTAGAGAGGAGTCAGAAAGCCAGCTGCACATTATGACAAAGAATTCAGAGGTGAAGAGGTTAATGACACTATAATGCAGCTTATGCATTATATCATATGTCTGCTAACATTGAGAAGTAGGATAATCTTCCCTCAGAAAAACATTAAAATATTCCTGTGGGTTGGCACATACAAAGTGTACAGCAATATCATATTCCTATTTAATATTTCTCTGTCTGTCTGTCTGTCTGTCTGTCTGTCTCTCTCTCTCTCTCTCTCTCTCACACACACACACACACACACAATAACTTGGTTATGAATAACTTCCTTCCATATGTAGACTAGGAAGTAGGTTCCAAGGAAATAGAAAGAACTAAGAACATAGGTTTAGGATTGGGGTATTAGATTGTTCATTAATGCAGACACTTTATTCCTAGATTTTAAAACATGAAACAAAAGAGGGCTTTGAAATAGATACACTTTAACAACAAACTTTTAAAAGTTAGTTTATACATTCTATGAATGTAAAGCAAAACCATAATGGATACACTTCTAACCCACAAGTGCAATGCAAAGAAGTATCATCTGTACAATATGTTTCACATGGATCTTTTAATGTAACTATTTTGATTACAGTGTATTTCATGTTTTCATGGCAGCGGCGTAGCATGGGTTGTCAGCACCCGGGGCAAGGCAAGTAATTTGCGCCCCCTAAGCCCTAACCTGCCGCCGCTGCCAGCTTCTTCTTGCTGCTGCCTGGTCTGGTCTGGTGTGGTTCTCTCCCGCGCTCAGCGCTGCGCTGGGCGGCCGCTGCACTGTCCCTCCCCCAGATAGTCCCTCGCTCTCTCTCCACACCGCACGCCTGGCACCCACCCCCTCCACAGTGGGCGGCGACCCAGTGGCTTGGATCAGATTCGCACAGCCAGCACTGCAGTGAGAGAGAGTGAGTGAGCCAGGTAGGGGCAGAGAGCTGCGAGTGCGAGCGCCCCCCCAGATGTTGCGCCCGGTGCGGCCGGCCCCCCCTGCACCCCCCACGCTACACCACTGTTTCATGGTGACAATGTTGGGAAATTTGCTTTGTTTTCTTTTTCTGCTCTTTCCTTCCCTCTTTTGTAAGGTGCGCAGATGAAAATATATGCATACAGTTATAAAATATATTCTGGTGGCTGAATTCTGATGTTTTCCTGTTTGCTAATATAAAATACTTTCTTAGAAAATTACAACTTATCCTTTTACACTTCTTTCCCAGAAAACTCAAAAGGTTGTTGAGTTCAGATTATTTAAAGCAAAACAAAAAAAGTAACAGCAGGATAATGTTCTGGTTTCTTTCTTCAACAGGATTATTTTACAAATGCAGACAGAACATTGAAAAAGGACTCTCAGCAGGACTACCATCTGGAGTATGCCATGGAAAATAGTACCCATACGATACTAGCTTTCAGCCGGCAACTTCACACGTGTGACCCCAATGACAAGAGTATAACAGTAAGTAGTTGACGATCAATCTGACTCAGAGAGAGGGGAGTAAGACTTAAATCATGAATGAAGAGATAAAACAGTCTGCCAAAAAAAATCAAGCCATTTGTGAGCTTCACATTCTTGGATCAATTAGCTATTATGCTATGCTAGGGTTGCCATATTTCAAAATGTGAAAATCCGGACAGAAAAGTTGTTGAGCTTTTTTTTCCTCACTGAAAAGCTCTATGCCTAATAGAAGTTTGTTTAATTACAGATTCTGGTGGCAGCACCTGAATAATTAACTCATCAGAATACAGTGGTACCTCGGGTTACAAACACCTCAGGTTACAAACACTTTGGGTTACAGATTCCGCTAACCCAGAAGTAGTACCTCGGGTAAAGAACTTTACCTCAGGATGAGAACAGAAATCGTGCACCGGCAGCGCGGACGCAGCGGGACACCCCATTAGCTAAAGTGGTACCTCAGGTTAAGAATGGTTTCAGCTTAAAAATGGACCTTCGGAACGGTTTAAGTACGTAACCAGAGGTACCACTGTATCTCAATTCCACAAGGAGGCATTGCCTGAAGTACAGAACAGTTTAGGATAGGTGAAATGAATGTTCTTGGATTTTTAAAATTTAAAATATTTATAGACTGCTTTTTTGATCATATATAGGCTGTATAAAAAGCAGACAAAACTATTTTAAACAGCAAATTTAAACCAAAAATGAAGTGCAGAGTGATAGAACTACAAAAAGACTAAAATGCAGCTATCAATCCCTTACTTAAGAATCTTTCTGGACTATCTCTCACCAACCCTAGCCAGGTGGCGGGGACTGACGAGAGTTGTAGTCTAAAATATATGAAGGGTATCATTAGGAAAGGCTGTTATAGGTGGGCAGATTCATCTGGTAAGCCGCCATGATCAGCTGAGACATCTTCTTGCATACTTAATCAGTAAAGCTTTTCTTTTTCCTTTCTAGGAAAGCACAGTGAGGGTGATATGGGCATACCATGACAAAGACTTTAGAGAAGGAGTTCAAAATTACCATGGTTCAAATCGAGGGACAAAGAGTCTTCGTTTATTGAACCCAGAGAAGACTGCTATTATCGCTCCCTCCTTGCCGTATTTTGACTTGACAAACCAAGGCGTAAGTTTCTTTGGGTTTTGCTTTTATTAAGGATCAGGGTAAGATGGGTGGAACTGTTAGCTACCTGTACAGGGAGCAGAAATCAGATACTTTTATATTATATTTGCCTTTCCTTTTCCTTTTATTAAGACAGGTGCCTATACCAGACAAAGATACAACATATTGGTGCCAAATGTTCAAGATACCTACACTACATGAAAAGCATCATGTGATACAGGTATGCCATCAAGATACATATATGTATGTATTTACAAGATAGCACTTTTTGCTAAGGCTTTCTTTTTTGTACACACATTTTAAAAACAGTGAAGATCCTTGAAATGTAGGATCATATTTTCAGCATCTAAAAATCTGAACTGCTGCATTAACTTTAGTTCTGTTTTATGTCCTGCCATGGTTATGTTGATTTACTGTAGAGAAGTTTAAGAAAAAAGGGGCTTCGGTTGGTCATCCATGCATGTGTGTGTGGGGGGGGAGAGAATTACTATCAACCCCTAAATGGTTTTCCCTAATTTGGATAGAAACATGATTATTTGAAAGTTCCCTTGAAATGGGATTTGATTTAGAGTACTGAAATGTATTTTAAATGTATTTTAAATCTTTGTTGGAAGCTAACCGGAGTGGCTGGGAAAACCCAGCCAGATGGGCGGGGTATAAATAATAAATGATGATGATGATGATGATGATACAGCTCCCACTGCCACCCCCCAAATAAAAGCCATTTTGGTTAAGTTTAAGAAATACTGTTTTTGAACATCAGCTGTTTTATTGCTGCTGGATATACTTGTGCTTCTTCAGTCGATACGATGGAATTCCAAGACTTGCTGTGCTGGTTCATTAATGTTCAGGATCTCATGCGCCAACATTTATGACTGTTTAGCATGATACAAACATGCTGCAGCAAATATATAGGATCTAGGCAGGTAGTTTGGTGTACAGTAAGTCTGCAATGTACACATATTTTATTTGGGTGCATTCAGGTTTATGTGCTTAGCAAAACAATTTTACATAATTAAAAAGAGTATTGAAAGGAGGCAGGCATCCAGGGGAAAAGACTTTGGCAATCCCACCTGCCATGGAACCCAATGTGTTTTGACTATATGCGATTTTGGCTTTAGGCATGATTCCCAGAACATAACCCCCATGTAAATTGCGGACTTACTGTAATCTCTGAATCACATTGTGCAAAGATGGCTTTATGTAACTCCACAGTTTTTGTGAGGAGTGGTGGGTTTACCAAAGAAGTTATAAGATTACAGAAAGACTTGCTTCTTATTCTGAACTTCTTAATCTGCTACTTTTATCTTGAAAGTAAATGCCTATCCAGCTAAATATGTTACATAAATCAAAACGTTCACATGAGTTACGAAATTTTACAAATCTTGAGACCCAAAGTATATGCAGTTTTCTTAAGGGAGCTAACAACACTTATTTATGCCTGCAAACATGTCTTGTGGCTAGATGTGCACTTGCATCATGCTTTAGTTTGCTTAAGTTGCAGGACTCCACAGATGCCAGAGGCACAATTCCATGCATTTGATGTTTGCCTATATATAGTACTAATGTCCTGAGTGTTCTAAAATAAAATAAAAAACCCAGCCTATGCATTATGTATACCACTCAAGGCTTTCTTAAATACTAGCTCCCATGTAATGAAAATTAAGATTCTCAAGTCCTTCACTAAAACTATTAAATAGCTACTATCGAAAATATTGTGTGTGCCTCTCTTATTGTTTTCTTGGGTATCTGTTTTATTTAAATGAATATATGTAGATTACAAATTGTATAGTTTTTATAGATATTGAAGAAGGGAGTATCCTCTGTTAGACAGAAATCTAAGGGGGGGACGACTATTGTTTTGTCCTTCATATGCCAACTGAAGATGGTATAAGGGGCTCTTATATGGCTGGCACAAATAGCTTTTGTGATGGAGGAAGATTTTTTATTTCTCCGTTCTTAGATACAGACTTCATTTTGATCCTGGTACCTAGATAATAAACAGATACCAGGAGTATATGTTAACAAGGACACACATTTTTAATATGTAACCACAAATTATGAAGTACCACAGTTTCACATTTAGTTCACATGATGAAAGTATTAAGACGCAGCTGAATGAGTTGGAAACTGTTTCTCCTGTATATTTCAACACCTGTTCAGTCTCAAGTTAGCGGGTGGGGGGAAGAATGGGTAGAACTAGCCCACCTTCCAATCTGCCATGCTGCTGATGGGGGAATTCTGGCACCAGCACATGAGCCCTGGCAGCAAGAAGTGTGCCCTATACACTTTCCCCAATGGCACGTGGATTGGAAGCTACCACTAGTGGTATCCTTGTGGGCAGAAGTCCATGGAAAAAGCCTGAAACAGGGTGTTTTGGGAATTGATTGGCACAGTATGGTTCCAGTGATGGGGCTGTGGATACAGCTGTGACCTACTGTGTTTCATCAATGCCAGACACTTCCAGACAGAGGTTCTGATTGCTCTGTAAGATCACTGTAGTTGATAATTTAGGTAGATTCCACTTCATCCAAGTTGCAAACCTCTCCAGAACCTGGCTAGGTAGAAGGGGTAGGGGAGATAATTTGAGATGCTGCTCAGAAACACAATTCAGTTTTATGGCCAGTAACTACAACCAGCTGTCATGGCTAAAAAAGTTGACCTCCTAAGTTCAAAAAAAAAATTCAAAAAAGTTCAAAAAACAACAACCGGTCTTTCACCAAGTTTACATCATTTACTGTAATCTGTACCCACCTAGTTTTGGCAACTTTCTTAAATCAACAGATGTCATAAGTGGCCTTTGACTTGTGTGCTTGACCTTTTAACCATCCTAACTGCAACTTCTAGATGAGGGTCTGGACATAGTAGGTGTTCTTCATAATTTCCAAAGGAATCATTTCTTTATTTCAGCCTTCCATTTTGCACCCCTTCTAACCCGATTTAACCCCATCAACATTATCCTGCAGCAGGAGGCTATGTATGTAAGGACATAGATGACTATCACAAGCACATGTGATACTATTGGCAACCTATTGGGCCAGTCACTTGGGCTAGTCACTGTCTCTCAGTCCAGTCTGCCCTACAGGGCTGTTGTGAAAATAAAATGGGAAGAGGAAAAACCATGTATACCACCTTGAGCTCCAGGAAGGAAACATGGGGTATAAATGTAATAAATAAATCCCAGTTAGGACTGGGGGAAATCCCTGTTTGAAGCTCTGAGAAGCCACATTCATTTAGTATTGAGAAGTGGTCTGACATGGTATATGACAGCTTTGTATGCTGGTAGGCTATCCAACTGTTCAAAGAAGCCGTGTTCATGAATGACACCAAATTATTTGGGGGTTTGTGCTAAAAGCTCCAAAAGGAACTCCTTAAACTGGCTGAAAGGCAACAGAATGGCAAAAGAGAGTCAGTGTAAATTCTTTTGTTCCAGATTAGCAGTAAAGCATATAAAAACAGTGTGAAAATGAGTAGCAAATGTATTGATGGGTGGCAAGAGAAGCAGATAGACCTGTTCTGTTGCATTTTTATTTGTTTTTGTATTTACTGTTGACCTGTTCTATTGTATTTTTTATCTGTTTTTATGTTTGTTGTAAACTGCTCCCAAAACTTCCTCATTGGGCTGCATATAAATACTTTTAAATAGAGACAGGCAGGCAGGCAGTGCAAAATTCTGTGCCTCTGACAGGGGCCAAGAACAAGTTGCCAAAATATTTTATCTGCCCTGGAACAGGCTAGCAGATGCTACTTAAACATAATTTTTAGATTCATAGTAGAGTCTCATTAAAAAGAGACTCTCAAAAATCTTGTTACCATGGGTAACTAGGCTTTTTGACACAGGAACGTATTAGTAATGCCAAATCCAACAGCGTGCAAAACACAAAGGGGCTCCAGTTTGAGAGCATGATTGATCGGAAGCCAAAGGGGCAGCCACAGCATTTGATACTTAATGGGAGCACTGTTTCTTATCTTGAATGATAGACAGTACCTACTTATTATTCTGTGGCCTGCCTTGCATCTTGCTTGATGCAAATTGCATCACTTTTTTTCCTGAAAAGGACCCCCCCCCCAAAAAAAGTGATGTGAAGTTTTGCATTCTAAGCATTTGCTACCTGTTCAAAGCTCTCACAGCTCCATAAAATCAAGTTGTCTGTAAAATGTTCAGCTGAATATCACAAATCTTTCTTATTTGTTTATGGGTCCTTTGATCTGATGGATTTTCTCTTTGTTGCAAGCTTGGCTATGCCTTTTAAACTTCCAAGATTATTTATTTATTTTGACTTACAACCCACTTTATCCTCAAAGGCTCAAAGTAACTAAGAACACTGAAGATGATCAACAGCTGAAGGTTCTAAAAACATTTAAAAAGATTATGCTCAAGGTGGATTCTGATTCTTTCACAATAAATTTATAGGGTGATATCTAAGTCAGGCTAGACCCACTGAAATAAATTAATTCCAGTAACTTAAGTCCATTGAGTTGAATGAGCATTGTGACCCTATGGCAGATGTGAGGTATAGGGGTCTGAGAAGTGGCCCAGAACCCAGGCAGCTGATATGATGGCCTCCAGTCCAGGGGCAGGGATGACAATCAATCAACCAATCTATCATTTTATTTGTATGTCACCATTCCAAAGTTAAAACCATGCTCAAGGTGGCTTACAACGTACTTTTAAGATTACTTACCTACAAGCATAGAAAAAGTAGTCATAAACAATCAACAAAGCATCAAAAAAGTGCACAACCAAATTGAACAATTTCCACATAAATAATAAGATCATAATAAAGATGCAAAAATAGCATTAACAGCAGCAACAGAACCTCACAACAGCACCCTCCCAGACCAGATGGGAAAAGGCGTGCAAGGCAGGGAGCAGGTCTTGCAGGTTGCAGAGCCAAGATGGTGTCTGGCCTTTTCAGCAGCCTCAGCAGTCCAGACCCAACATCTCCTAGGATCACTGGCAGTGTGAAGATCTGCTAGAGGATCCTGCTGCAGGACCCTCTAGAAGACCTCAGGATCTAGTGGGCAAGGCAGAACACTTTCATATGACTTAATTACATTCCTACTTTCAGTTGACCAAATCTTCCAAATCATTTTTGAGAGATGAGATTAATGTTGAGTGAGTATCATTTTATCACTTGCCCAAATTTTGGACGAATAGTTGTTAAAAGTACATACGCATGCACACAGCTTACAGCTGCAACTTCAAAAGAAGAAAAGCAAACAAAAGGGGGGGGGGAGAGAGATGGGAAATTATAATAAGCAAAGTTCCATGTCTTTCTGATGTCACCCTGGAAAAGGGTCTGGCTTCCATGTGTACGTTCAGCCATCTGAAGTTTTCTTTTTTGTTGTTTAATGACAAATTCCTGATTTTATCTTTGTTTGCATCCTGCGCTTGTAATCCTTTCTAAATCTGATACCCATCCCAGCTGACATTTTAAATGCTACATTAAATGTTTTTAAATCCTATTCAGTATGCCCTATTAGTATTTAGTAACACAGAATATATGGAACGCTGTGACATTCACCCTGTTTCTGCCATTATTTTGTATGTATGCTTCACAGAAGGTACAACAAAGTACTTCCAAAGCTATTATAAAGCATAGATGGAATGTTTATTTTGCTTAGACAGAAGCAGTTGTTGAATAGCTAGAGGCTTGTCCACACTTCTGCTTTGCCCTGGGAAATCCCAATCTTTGCTGCCGAATTGGAGAAAACATTAATCAGGTTTTCTGCAGATTGACATTTGCTCCAATTCAGCACTAAAGAGCCAGTGTGGTGTAGTGGTTAAGAGCGGTAGTCTCGTATTCTGGGGAACCGGGTTCGCGTCTCCGCTCCTCCACATGCAGCTGCTGGGTGACCTTGGGCCAGTCATACTTCTTTGAAGTCTCTCAGCCCCACTCACCTCACAGAGTGTTTGTTGTGGAGGAGGAAGGGAAAGGAGAATGTTAGCCACTTTGAGACTCATTTAAGGGAGTGAAAGGCGGGATATCAAATCCAAACTCCTCCTCTTCTTCTTCTAAAGAGCAGGTTTTCTCAGGAAAAACTCTTGTACTCATGCTTTCTTGGCATGGGACAACTGGGACGAGCCCTGGGTGAGTGACGGCAGAAGGAAGCAACCAGGCCTCTTTTTTTCTAATGTGGTAATCACAAAACAATCTGGAAGTTAAAAATTGCATTTGATTTAGATTCCTACTACACATACTTAAGTCCAGCACTGATTTATTTTGAAATATATCCTATATATCCTTTGTGCCTGCTCCTTTTCAGCCCTACCTATGTTGGAAGCGTGACATCAGTTGGGCCAGGGCAAGGAGGTTTCCTCAGAGTGGCGGAGGCATCCAATGTCTGATCTTCCTCTCTGGTTAGACCTCTTTCTCCATTCTTGTACAGGGAAATTTCATGCTTCCTGTGAGCCCTGGGAAATCCCACCAAGGACCATTGGATTGTAAGGTTAATTAGTTAAATATAATATGACAATAGGATATATAGAAAGAGGAAGAGGGAGAGAGAGATTAAACCAGTTTTGGAATCTGTTTAATGCTGAATAACAGTTCAAACCAATCTCTCCCTAGAAAGCTTGTCATGCAAAACAAATAACTAGACATCTGGCTGTTTTCTTGTATCTCATTTTGCAGTTATGTAAAGGACTGTAATTTTGATGAACTGGCCAGCCACAAAGAACATTGTTTCTCTTTACTGCCAGTAAGCAGTGTTTATTTCAACCCAAAAGGAACAATTTCTGGTAAAATGTTGCATAAATGTGCCTTTGGGAAAGTCTCTGACATGTTATTTCACAATCTCTTTGAAGATGGAAAGACAAAATAGTTGTGGCACATACATTATTTTGTTCTGAGAATTGTATTGATTTATAACAGTGTGCGGCATAGAGCCCTACTAATACTTATGCTTTATATTGGTTTTAAATATGGGGGGGGGGCATCAAAAGACAAATTTTACCAATGGGGAGCACATAAGCATAATGATGAAAATGTGCACCTGAAGCCCCACTGGCCACACACACACACACACACACGAGTATCTTAAAAGATGGCCCCTGGTCCCCAGTGAAATATATTTTGTTCTTTTCATATGGATGCTCCTATAGTTTTGCCCCCCCCCCCCAATGCCTTAAGCATCCACCCAGGTGCTCTCCCATTGATACAGATATGACTGTGTGGCTGCAGTGTGCATAAAAGAACCTAATCAGAACTAGTATCACACATAATTTTGAGATGTCTTATAGGGAAGAATATTTTTTAAAATGTGTTTTTCATTCTTTGACTCCTTTAAATTCATACTAATTGCATTTTGATAGTAACTGTTTGAGGGTCTCAGCATCAAGCCTCTAGCATCAGGGAATGTCAGGGAGACAAACAACATTGCCTGTGATCAAAGTTATAGGTGACATTACAGTATTTCTTGCCAACGTGTTCATGGAACTTGAACTTGACAGCTGCTTTTTTATCTTGCAATTTTAGCAACGTATAGAATTCAAAAAGTATTTTGGGGGAAGCAAGGGAGTAAGTGTAATCTTGCAGGTAATTGCAGAGGAAAAAATATTCGTTCTAAATACAAACACAAATATTTCATGATATATAAAATCAATCAACACATAGGAAATACGTTGCAGCTTAGAAATACTGTATATTTACTCTCAAAAGGGGCACAGCCCTCTGCAGCTGGCTATATTGCTTAGCCATTTAGTTTATCACCCAAGCCTCTTCTTGTGAAATATAATTAACAATAAGACTAACTACATATCCATGATGTCATTATTCCTTCCCAATCTCAAAACAGCATACATTAAGCTTGCAAATTACATGGGGGTTAGGTTCCAGGGATTGCCAAAATCTCATATAGTCAAAAACCATTGGATTCAGTGGCAGGTGAGATTGCAAAAGGCATTTTCCCCAGAAGCCACCTTCTTTGCAGCCCTTTAAAAAAAATTTTAAAAAAATTGCCACATGCATACAGCTGAATGTGGCCAAGTTAAATGTGTGTAAGATGTGAGCTTACTGTACTGTATAATTATTGGAACAGGACTGTTAGGAATAATTTTGTAAATAGAAGAACAAACTAGGGAGTTTCATCACAATTTCTTCTCCTTGAAATCCTAGATTAGTTTTCATCATATGTTTTGTCAATTATGGAGAACCTAAGGAGTCTGTCTGTCTTACTTTCCTTCCAACTTAAAAGACATTTTCTTGTAGTTTGCAGTTGTTATAATTTGTTACTGTTATTACCAAAGCCACTTCATATACCAGGCTGTCTGGAAATCTAGTACTCACAGTGGAGTACTAGATTTATAAAAGCTTCTAAACCTCTTCCTTCTTCCAGTTATTGATTTTCTTGTCAACTCGTCTACACCACATATGCAAAGGTACTGTAAGTACAAGGAATTTAGGTGGTTTCTCCCAGAAAAAACAAGTTAATACACCCAATGTCTTAACTACTTCTGGTTAAAATGAAAACATTAAGAAGGCAAACACACACTCCAAAGCATTTCAGGGAGTGCAGAATCCTAGCATTACTCCAACTCTTACAGATGTCAGCAGCAAGGTGTATAATATTTGACCAGCTTGTTTAAAGTTAAGAAAAAATGCAAGAGAATATTTTTAAACTACGCACTAGTAGGTAAAATGCACATGCCCCTGGCTGTGCACTCATAATATAAATAACCCAAAATGTGCCTAGGAAGATGAAGAGACAGAAAGGAGCTGACTCCTCTGTTCTCAGTGATGGGGGTCACGATGTTAGGGTTGTCAAATGGCAACTTTTGATTTCAAATATTCCTCTGGCTGGGGGGACCTTGGGATGTGTAGAGGGAAAAGCCCAGTGGACTCTGCAAAGACAAAGAATAGAGCTAATGGCAAAATAGATTTGTTCCTGAGGCTGTGTGGGCAGAATTGTGGACTAAGCCTGTATCTGAGTTTTAGTAGGGCATATAAGAGTCGTGGAAGGAAGTAGCTGTGTAAGCAATCTCCGCAGCTGCCCCTGTACCATCTCTTACTTTTACTTTGGTAGCTAAGGAAAGTATGGCATTGCACCTGAGGATACTGGGGTGGAAAGGGAAGAATTTGTTTGGCTTCTATGAGAACAGGATGCTGGACTAGATAGGCCATTGGCCTGATCCAGCAAGCTCTTATTATGTTCTTACCCAGTGCCGGATTTACATATAAGCTAAACAAGCTACAGCTTTGGGCCCCACTCTCTTGGGGGCCCCCAAAAAAATTAAAGGGGAAAAAAACCCCTGGATGTACATTTCCAAAATATAAGATAAAAAACAAATAAAATGAAACCTCCATACAGCAACAGTGGCAAATGGCTTTAGATACCTATTAGGTCCAGAAATTACCATATAGCATATATTCAACACAAAAAAACAGTTACAATTTGTTGTTGACAAAGGACAGCTGGACATATAAAGGGCCCCATTACCTTCAGTAGCTTAGGGCCTCATCAAACCTAAATCCGACCCTGTTCTTCCCTATCTTTAGCTCTGTCTAGCTCTTTCACTCCTCAATACAGACTGAGTTGCCCTGTCCTTGGAATAAGTACAAATGCCTCTCTTGTTATATTCAAGCCTTCCCTATAGACACATCCACAAGCGTGTACACTCAAACCACTTGTCATTGCCACATTTAATTGCTGCTGATATTTTTCTGGCCCAGGGCTCATTATGCCTCTTTCTTTCCATGGGAGAAGTGCAGTAACAGCAATTGGTCTTTGACACATTCTTATTCTGCAGCAGGTGTTGACATGTACTGGAAGAGCTCAAGTGCTCAACATGGCAATGGGTCTGTGTGCAAAGAGCATCAGTGAGATACTCTTGATACCACACCTGTGGAGTAAGCATTGGGAGGAAGCTGTTCCCCAGCATACTAGCTCTGTGATAGCAATAGCCACGCAGATAACAGAAATGTAGAAGGGCTGCTTGCATCCTGTCTCCTCACCCACTTCAGTGCTGCTCTTGAGTGTGCTTTGAATATATAAAGACAAAAGTGCTGTATCAGTCAGAATTGGATACTTCTCGTGGATGATAGCCCTGTAAAGCTCTTACAGTACATTTCATAAAACACAACATATAACCATCAGATATTTAAAAGGTTCTGTAGAAGAAAATGTATGCATGTCTCCGTACCCTAAGATAAAGGTCTCATTTTATTATGTCCTGAAATTCTCACCCTTGTCATCTTAAGCTTGAAAGGATTTTATTTTTTGGGTAACTGCCATATCTTTTAATGGGTAATGAAAAATATATTTACAATATATATTTGCATGCATTTTTACACAAGTCAGATAAATAAGGGGTTATTTCCAACCTCTTGTCCAGCTGTAAAGACAGTGATTTGTCACCTTATATAATTATTATCAAATTAATGTGCTGATGCTTCTCATGAATGTTCTCTCTCTCTCTCTCTCTCTCTGTGTGTGTGTGTGTGTGTGAGAGAGAGAGAGAGAGAGAGAGAGAGAGAGACGACAAAGCCTCCTGCAAAATGTCTGGCAAAGGTAGAAGGGCGTTATACATAAACTGTTTACCTTTTGGAAGATTCTCTTTTTCAATAGAAAGGGAACTGAACAAAAGAATGCTTGTTTGAATTGATGTTTCGGAAACTGACAGTGAAAGGATTGCCAACTTTGGTGATGACCCATTGCTTTGAAGGAGAGGTTGTTGTTGTTGCTTTAAGTTCTGAGTAGAAGAACAGCAGGTGTCGGTGGCCTTTGGAGGTAGGTGGGTGTATCACACGTTTGGGCAAGTACCGGTACTCCGTTATTTCAAGCAGAGATCAATAGAACATCCTCCTAGCCTTTTTGCTGGTTCCCGTCTTATTTTATTTGTATCAAAAGTAGGTGGATTTTGTCCTCATTGTTACGCTGTAGCATTCAGTTTAAAAAAACAGTCATTGGTTTTAGGGGAATGTGACTGCGGCTTTCATTTATGCTTCTACTCTTCCCTTTTCTGATAGCTCAGAAACTAGTTGTAGTGTGAGCACCTGCCCTTTTTACATGGGGGCATGTAAGATGGTGGAAACTACATCAATCTGAGATACAACCCTGCATCTTTACTGTACTTACTTTGAAATGATCAGTGTGCGAAAACTAGTTGTAGTTTTATTTCGCTTCTGTGGTACCATGATAGCTCCTACAGGGCAGAATAAAGCAGCGAGGAGGCCTTACTCAAAGTCCTCCCCAATTTAACTATGAATCAAGGTCCTGCTCTTGTTCACCACTATGTTGTTGCTGTTATGTTGTATTATAACATAATTATATTATTGAGAAGTATATGCTTTGCTGTGCCATATCACACTCCCCAGCCATCCATTTTACATGTATCCACAGACTCTCTTCATTTTTTGCAGGGGGTTGGACTAGATGATCCTCAGGGTCCCTTCCAACTCTACAATTCTATGATTCTATTATTCTTTTCCCATGCTTGCAGAATGGAAGCATGCATATCTAGGATGTCTTCAGGATTGGAGAAGAGAACATTCTGGTTAGATGGGTTGGCCTTGGCTAACAAACAGGGATGGAACCTGAAAAGTAATTCATGCAAACTGTGTAATCTACCATTGAGATATGATCCCTCCCAATGTGTAAGGCACATTAATAATCTGCAAACCAAACACCAAGTCAGGGCACAAAACCACCCATGTGTTTTCCAGGGACGTTTACATGTCTGCCATAATCCTTCCAGCTATAATCTGTACCATAGTATCTCATAGTAGTTCCACCAACATAAGTTCAGTGCATCCTTTTAATGAATAACACCATTAAAAGATGTGTAATTTTTCACAAAATGATTTAAACATTTTCATTATATCACTAATATATAATTGTAATTGTAGCTATTTAGACTGGGGCCTGCTTCTTCAAATGCTGTTAACATTTGCTAAGATAAAACAGTATTAAATTCATTGACTTTTATTACATTAACAGGTTGAACCATTGATACAGAAGGGCCATGAAAATTTGGTTCATCACATTCTACTCTATCAATGTAGCAGCAGTCTGAATGATAGTGTACTGGACTATGGTCATGAGTGCTATCACCCAAACATGCCGGATTCATTCCTCACCTGTGAAACAGTCATTTTTGCCTGGGCCATTGGAGGAGAGGTAAGATATATGGTTTTTGTAACTTATTTTACTAATAGACACTATGGGAATAATTCACCTAATGAACTCTGGCAGCAGAAGTCCATTGAAATCAGTAGGACTTAAATTAGCCATGATTGATATACATTCTCTAACTTGTTGCCTGTATTGAACATGATGAAATCTAAAGCCCAGCTGCCGGAGTCTTATTGAGCCAAAAATTGTTACATGGAACAAATTGAACTTGGTCTCAATAGGGTTAAATACCATCAACATTAAATCTAGCTGTTGAGCACATTTCTGTATTCTGAGAATTTTTCCAAGGTAAACAAGAGACAACAATGAATAATTTTAAAATTATATGTCATTACTCAGAATAATATGATTCCTGTGGTATAAACCTGTATAAACTCAGCCTAGATTAAGAAAAAAATGATCCAATATTGGGAAATTCCAATTGGAAAATCTGAGGGTATAGGGCAGTATGCAAATTTTACTACTACTACTACTACTACTACTACTACTACTAATAACAGTTTGGGGTGGGATGAGATCAAGCAATTTAATCCAGATGAGGGAAGAACTATGGCCTGAGAAATCTGCTGATTTGGATGGAGAATTGCATCTGGGTGTAGATGGGGTTGTGCTTCCACAGAAGCGCAAGGTATGCACAGGTAACATCTGTGTGGGCAGAGGGGCATTTTGCCATCTTACGCTGGTTCGGCAGCTGCACCCCTATCTAGAGAAACTCACTTATTCTCAACAACAAATATTTTGGTTATGCTCAGGCTAGATTACTGTATTATGCTGTACATGAACTGTCCTTGAAGATAGTTCAGAAACTGCATATGGTGCAGAAGCTTATAGGCTTGGGGCAGCTAGCTGTTCAGATCATATCCAACTTATGTTTTGGTTACATTGGCTGCCTAGTCTTTTCTAGGCAGCTCAATTCAAGGTGCCTGAACATTTGGATCAGGCTCTGAGGTCCTCCTTTCTAGTCTACCAGTAAGTAGTTAGATTAGCAGAGAGCAAGGACAGGGCCTTCTCAATTGGAGCTCTCTCCTTAGTGGAATATATGTGACTTGATCATTGCTGGTGTTTTTATGAAAACTGAGAAGTGTTTTTACCATAGTCTGCATTTTTTAATTGATTAATGTGATGTGCTTGAAGAATTTTAGCTGTTGGTTTTTTTAAAAAAATTAAAATTACATTGTTCTTTAAAATGCATTGAAATATTTGTATGCATTGAGAGGCAGGCTATAAATCTATGACTTTGGAATACAGTACACTGATCCTAGGCTTGTTCCTATAGTGTATAATATTGATATACAGTGGTACCTCAGCTTAAGTACTTAATTCGTTCTGGAGGTCCGTACTTAACCTGAAACTGTTCTTAACCTGAAGCACCACTTTAGCTAATGGGGCCTCCTGCTGCCGCCGCGCTGCCAGAGCACAATTTCTGTTCTCATCCTGAAGCAAAGTTCTTAACGGGAAGCACTATTTGTGGGTTAGCAGAGTCTGTAACCTGAAGCATATGTAACCCGAAGCGCATGTAACATGAGGTACCACTGTACCTTCATTACACTTTGTCCAACAACAGATAAGGAAAGGAGGTAAACAAGGTCCAAGTATCAGTACCAGTTTTCCCCTTTGGTAGAATGATGGGAGCAAATGTATGTATAGTAAAGAAATACGAAATATACACAAAATGTACACAAAACCCCCAAATTACTGCATGTTTACATGCAGACATAGATATATTTAGTAACAGCAATTTCTGGTAAGTGTCAGTCCTAAGGGATCTGCCATTTTCTCTAATTGACATATGAGGTTGAAATACATTCCAAACTAAATTATTAGAACTTTTGGTAGAACCTGGTTAATTGCGTTTGCATGTTTCAAATTCTAGGGCTTTACATATCCTCCTCATGTTGGCTTATCTATCGGGACAGCATCAGATCCTCAGTATGTGCTTATGGAAGTCCATTACGACAACCCATCATATATGGAGGGTATGTTTCTTAACTACTTTTTAACTTTCTAAATTAGTAAAATATGCCAAATGCATAGGCTTCCTAGCCTGCTCATCCCAGTAAATGAAACAGCTGACAGGGAATGAAATCCCACTTTTTCTTAAAGTGTCAGTGCTGATGATAATCTTCTTTGTGAACATCCTGGGCTTGCCCTAGCACTTGCTCATATTCATGTGGAGAATGTTTGAAATACTGTACATGGAAGCACAGGTTGACATATTCTTTAGTACAAAATATATGCTGTACTTCCAGGTACAGTATTTATGTGAAATTGCAGCTCTTCTTTTTGGAGCTATTACGTATGGTCAATAGAGCTATTGTGGTCAATTCTGCAATACAGCGTAGTCAGGTATACATATATATCTGATTCACATGGTGCTTCATCTGTGCACAGATGTTGATAAGTTCAAGCCTGAAGGTATCTACACATAGGGCAATTGACGGTATTTAAACTAGCTAGTGTAACAATTTTTGCACTGCACAACTTGATCTGAATTTCCAAAGGATAAACTTTTTCACACAAAAATTGGGGAAACATGCACATCTTTTAGTTCTCAATCTCTTAAAGATGTGATGGGTGGTAATATTTTTGCATGGCATCAAAGTCATTTTGACTTTTTACAGATCAGCGTTTGAATGAGATTTTGAAGCTGTACTATTTTAGTTATCAACATATTGTGGGGGGAAAATAATACAATTGTTTATTTATTGCATCAGTCACCCAAACAAGGCAGCCTCTAGGTGACTTATAGCCAAGTTTGGAAGCTTTTCAAGTTCCATCAGTTTTTGTAAATGTTGATTTACAGAAATTCTGGCACATAGGCTGACTGCCTCTGACCATGTGCTGAGTAGTTTTCCTTTCCAAAACAAATGCTTCCTCACATGTCTGGGTGTGTTGTGCAACTAGGTTTTCCACACTTCCAACTTGACCCGCCTATCTAGGGTAACAAGGACCTTGCAGATACTATCTTGATACTACGAGGAGCTACTTGACTGAGGAGGGAGGGACTTGGGATTTACTCCTAGACTGGCTGTCTGGCTGACTCTCTTGCACAGTGGCTGTGAGAGATTAGCTCCACTCAAAACAGCTCGTAGCATGTTAAAAGACAAGAAAAATCCAAACAACAATTAGCCACTTAAAAACTTTAACATCTTAGATTTTAAAAGATTCATATTAATGAGAAAGGGCTGCCTGGACCAGTAAAGATAAGATATTTCATAAGAGAAACTGTGATAAGACATGCAGTGATGCTGATAGCCAACTACACTTTACTGTCTGTCCTGTCATATTACGAAAGTGGAAAAACACTGCAGAGATTTGTTGAAATCAGCTCACCATAGACAAAATGATTGCTTCTGTCTCCTAGCATTGCTGATTTGTTAATTTTGTTATTCCTTTAAAATCACAATTGTATTGGACAGTCCCGCCCTTTTTTTATATAGATATAGTTAATCAAAGGCTGCTAATATTGAAAGAAGTGGGACCTGGGTTCCAGCCCTAACTTTTACTGAGTACAGCAAATTAAACAATAGTTTAACAGAAAACAAACCCCCTCACCTATGGTCCTGTGTATCAGGGAAAAGGTAAACTTCACTCATGATGGATCTATGTTTATTTAAGCATAATTTTAAGATTCCCAGACTAGACTCAGATCAAAATGATGGCACAGGCAAACTTCTGTACACTTAGAATTTAGGACCAGGATGCCTTAACTGGCACATTATTATCATTAAATTAAACATGTTCAGCCAAATAATTTCTTTTTAGGACCAGAACTGTTCTTACAATCCTTTTACATACCAATCAAGTCCTGATTCCTCCACTCAGGAAAGAAAATATTTGTTTTGGCAAGCTATCTTTTTTTTTAAGTATGTTAGTGTTGCTATTTTTAAACAATTGGGATTCAAAAAGTTGCTGATCTGCCAGAAATCACCCCAAGATCCTGACTTACCTTTGTCCACCGCTGTTATATGTGCTGTTATATATATGTTGTATATAAGAAGGAATAAATAAAATTTAAAAAACATCACAAAATGGAGAGAACATGGGGCAGAAAAGAGTTGCTCATGATCAGTCTTACCAAATACTATCAAATAAATATCCCTGACAGCACTCCAGATCATTACAGAAGGATCCATTCCTCCACCCCCTTGATGTATACTGCATCTTAAGTGCTTGTCAGTTCAGACGTGCTTCCTTGGTGCGGGTGGTGGAGAGAGACACTTAGATGATACCCCACAACAACGGAGTGGTAACTATGTGTTTATTGTGCTAGAGTGGCTATTTGGAAAGGCCTTACAAGGAACACAGATGCGTACATTTTTTTGTTGTTCAGGTCAGTAAAGTACAGAAGTCAGCCTGCTCTAATTAACCACTTTCTTGTGACAATACCTTATTTACAGCTTTCCCAGTTTTTGTGACCCCCCTTGACCGGTCTTAAGCACAACTTCTCCCTTGTGTTACTTTCTTGCATAAACTTGACAAGTGGGTCCCAAAGCGACTTAAACCCCCCCCCCCCCATAGGATACTTTATGTTGATTTATGGCTGCTTCTGACAATTGCTCTTTTGTTCTCAGGAATGATAGATAACTCTGGGCTGAGGCTGTTTTATACCCCAGATTTAAGGAGCTACGATGCTGGAGTTATTGAAGCAGGTCTCTGGGTCAGCCTCTTCCACAACATCCCACCGGGCATGCCAGAATTCACATCAGAGGGTCACTGCACTTTGGAATGCCTAGAGGAAGTATGTCTCCTGCCTTGCTCATTTCATTGTGATTCTTTGCATTATCTGAAAATAGCACATTTGAAGTGCTTTCTTCTGAAGGAACTAGTGGGTCTGATACAGTCATTACTATACAGACATTTGCAGTACAGTAGGTCCAGGATCAAAAGATGGTTTGTGTGCACATGAGACAGAACTGCACGTGTAGCTCAGCCTTTTAACTTCATTTTTCTCTGCTGAAAAACCCTTTGCACTGTAATTAAAATTGACCTGTCTCTTCAACAGTTGTAATGAGGAAGCAAAAAGTCAAACTCCTGAATCCAATTTAACTCCTGGGCACATATACCATTCCTTTGGATCCCTGACAGCAGCATGCAAGTTGTTAAATGAAATCAAATGAAAATAGAACAGGAAATAGTGAAAGAAATACTTGATCTTTATTTTTCTTTTCCTGCTGATCTTTACAGAATGTGCTTTAAAACTGACCTACAGTTAATAACTCTGACTTTCATTCTGTAGTGCTTTGTTACCAGTTTTCTGGCAGCTGGGCAAATATATTTTGTTCAAAATATTGACAGTGCTTTGCTGTTTTCTTGGGGAAGAGAGTTCCACTTTGAATAAATGGCACATATGCAAAACAATGAAAGAACAATGCTAGTTAAAATACTGAATAATACTGTGTTTGGAAACTCATGGAGGGAGGGAATAGACTGGTCTGGAAGGGCTGTTGAGGAGATTGGATGTGAGAACTTACAAAGCAGGAATAGTTGAGGTGATTAAAGACTGAGTTTGCTTAATTTTCTAGCTCCCAAAACTCCCCCTCGCCACCTTGCAAACGTCTGAGTGTTTTAAGGAAAGCAAAAGCAGCTCGAAAGTCTGTTCTGCTGGTCAGCCATCATAGGACAGTGACTAAGTTGACACCTTGAATTACTGCTCTATAAATCTACACATGCTTCCATGGTTTTTGCTGTTAGGTTTTTTAAAGGATTCTTTCTGTTTCCCTTTTGTAAGCTTGTCTCTGCCTTAAAACTATTATTTTGAAAAGGACTAAATTCTTATGTGTGCAGGAATTATTTTAACATTCTGTCTACAGTGTGTGTGTGTGTGTGTGTGTGTGTGTGTGTGTGGTGAGGGAGGGGATAATGGCTTTTGTAAGCATATTACAATGCAGTCTATATGCTCTTCTAATACTGAATGTCCTCTCACCCTCTGTGGTAATCTGATAAGTTTCACTGGTCCTTTTCAGGCCCTGGATGCTGAGAGGCCAAGTGGAATTAATGTGTTTGCAGTGCTCCTCCATGCACACCTTGCTGGTAGAGGTATAAGGATGCGTCATTTCCGCAAGGGTGACGAGCAAGAACTTCTGGCCTATGATGATGAGTTTGACTTCAACTTCCAGGAGTTTCAGTATCTGAAAGAAGAAAGGACCATCTTGCCAGTAGGAATCAATGCTTCTTTCATTTAATAATACTTTTGCCATTTTGCCATTTCTCCAAGCTGAACTGTCCCCCATTTCCCCCCCTCAACAGGATGGGCCAAAAGTTCATATTTGCCATTGCAAAACACACATTTTGTTCCATGCAGGGATGGGGCAAGGGAAAGAGAAGCTTCCATTTGGAGTAGAAAAATGACAGATTAAGCGCCCCTCCTCCTCACTTCTCTCCCCAGTCATGGCCCCACCCCAAGTCAGCATGTCTTGTTAAAGAAGGGTAATTAGGCTACAATTACATACATTTGCACGTCTTGTGCTGTGGCTTATCAGTAAAAGTTATTACTTCATATTCCAATGAACCTAATGTTTACTTGCATGAATCATTTTCGAGCTCTTGTTTTTTTTCAATTCCTAATTCTCTGTTCACAGCCTTTCATTCTAAACTGATGTTCTGTTTAAGATAAGCTTTTCCTTTGGGCTGTTGCTGTTTTTGTTACTGATAAGAACTTTGGGTTGCCATAAGAGTTAAATATTAGTTGCAGAAACTTGAGACTGAAAGGCTCCTCACCATATAAATCTGTCAGCATTTGTCAGTTGCAGCCTGTCTGATAGACCTCAGGGCTCTGAGGATGGCTAGTCATGACAAATACTGTTATGCATTTGCAAACATGGAAAATTTGCTGCCTGTAGCAACTTTATTATTGTGGGGAGATCAAATATTACTTCAAATAGTCAACTTGCTTCTAAGCTCCCAAATAGACTACTAAATAACAAAAGAGATATCAAGAGAGAGAGAGATGCATGCAGTGGCATATAGATGACCCTAGTGTCATTGATTGAGATGTGTTGTCATTATTGTCCCCAATAATAACAGTATTAAGATTCATAAACATGACCACTGGGCATGTGCTGGCCACTTTATAATCCTCCAAAAGTTATCTGCTTGCTTTGGGCAGCTGTTTTGTTCTGCTACTACCACTCCTTGCAGTATTAAGCTTTTCCCACACTATTGCAAATGAATATTTAGAAGTATCTGCAGTGACCTACAAAATGTTTAATCCTTTGTGTGGTGGTGACTGGACTGGCTGTACGCAAATACATTCGAATGAGCTCTCAGCCACATATGCCTCACAGGCCCACTTAACATATGCATTTGATGTCCCAGTTTCTATCTTTCTCAGGCCATGGTGTGCTTCCACAGTAATGTATAAGAGGGGCCTATCATTCATTGGATGCCACTGAGAACAGAATACATCCATATGAGAGGCGCACCTCATCCCTATCCCTAACCCAGTTGTGCCTCGTTTGCCCCCAGTCAGATTGCAGGAACGTAGCAGACTTACTGGTTCCAAGGCGCAGCCTGCTGTGTTACCAACACAATCCCTTGCATGTATATTTAGATATAACCTCCATTGAGTTTTTTGACTGTTACTCCCAAGAAAGTGTGCAGCTGAGCAGGCCAATCCTTTCCATGTTTACACAGAAGTAAGTTATGTTGGGTCCCATGGGACCAAAACCCAAGGAAGTATACCTGAAGCTCGCTGGCTGACACTGGGTCAGTCACTATCTCTCAGGATTATTGTGAAGACCTTGGTGTGGGTATGCAGGGAAGAGTTGAACTTGGCTGTTCAGGAACGCTTTTCCAAAGATGCCACTTTGCTACATTGCTTGTAAGCAAGGTGCATGCAGTGACTTGCCTTTGATCAGAGAAAAAAATATTTTATTCTTACCTATGAATGTCCTTTCTGAAAATTGTATCACAGGTCTTGCTTTTCTGGCTGACTAAAGTGGCCCTGAACAATTAAATTTAGCAGGGCAGAGTATTTTGCCTTTTCTGTCTTCATTAGGGGCAACTACTTTCTAGAGTTTTACATGAACCTGCTGGTGAAGTTACAAACTAAAAGTGTTGCTTCCTCCTGGCTTAAATAATTCATTTCTGCCCATGATCCAGTGAGAGAGATTTGCCACTCCACTCTGCTTCTCATTGGCTGGGATGGCTCTATGGGTCTACTATCTTCCTAACCAAATCCCAAATATTCGTAGCAACGAAACCTTTCTTTCTATGGTCTTTGCTGCTTCTGTTTTGGTAATGAAGAAAAGAAACTATGCTATAAGAGAGAATGCTGTAATTCGGCAGTGAAATGCATTGCTGCTATTTGACCACAAATCCAGAAAAAGGTGTGATTTTTGTGATTGTGTTGCTTGTAGATTTTGGTTCTAAGAAACAGTGAAAACTGGAATCTGTGTTACAATGTATTTTACAGTTCCTTTTAACAAATTAATTGTTACGTACACTTTTACTGATAAATATAAATGCCACATGGCACAAAGTAAAATTTCAGCCTACCCTCTACATTTTCAAAAAACAAAATATTAAAACTCAAATTCTCAAAACTGTTAAGATATTTTAAAACAGTCACCAAAAAAATGTCTTAAACATTATCATTTGTAACAGTGTTTGCCTTAAATGTTGTGTTTCAGGGAGATAATCTGGTCACCGAATGTCATTACAGTACCCTAAATCGATCACATATGACTTGGGTAAGAAACTTTATGACATGGCAGAATGAAAATGTCTTCAGATAAAAATGTTGCAGGAAATGTTGTTTTGAGGCATTTAGGTACTCTTGGCAGATAGCTGCAAGGCTGCTAGAGCTTTGCTGTAGATGATCTATTAAACTTATAAAGCAGATTTACTTCTGATGCCAGAGAAATTGCATCTGGCCCTCTTTGCTGCCTATAATTTTAGTGTACCATAATAGACCCAATCTAATATTCAAGAACGATGCTTTATATATTACAATGACCTCATTGCCATTGGTGATTCTTTACATATTTTGGACATAAGACTCACCTGCGTGGGTCATTTTTAATGGCAGTTACACAGCAAATAAGATATTAACCTCCCTTTAGCATACTTTTTGGTTAGCTTGTATGTACCATATTAAGGCTCTGTTATTTACTTGTGGGTTTGGGGCCACAAAATCCAACTTTTACTTTGACGGTACAGAGAACAAGGTTATTTGGGCAGTGGGCTTTGCCACTGCCCTGTGTCCTATATCCTTAACTGCTACTCCTTTTTCTTGCCATCCTTTTAGTGTTTTATGTACATAGTGGCAGCAGCAGCAACGATGATGAATATACAGAGGTAACACCAGAGGGCAGTAGTAGTCAGGTTTGAGAACAAGCACAGAAGCTTAGATTCTAGGACTGAATTGTCTGTCAACACTACCTTTCTGAAATTTGCACACACAGTCCTAGTTCAGAAAAAAACGACACAGCAGGAAGGCTTCTAGAAGAAAGATTTTCTTTATTTTTTTAAACCTTTTGCAGTTGTCTGGCAGCACCTGTTATGAATAATCCATCTACTGTTTTACTTCAGCTGCAGTAAGAAAAGAATAAAAGTTTTGCAGTCAGCAAGCAAATTAACAATGGCTTGGATGCCATTCATACAGTTTATAGCTTTATTTGTTGCTCTTGCTTTGGACATGATCTGCATTTTCTTATGATTATTGATAATGTTTAGGAAACATTCTTGATAAAGCCTCAACAAAGGTATCAAGTGATCTGAAAAAAATCCTGGAAAAAAAGTGTGTATTGTTGATTTGTTCACATTTTTAGGGTGGTCTTAGCACCAGAAATGAAATGTGCCTATCCTACCTTCTGTATTATCCAAGAATAAATCTTACCCGATGTGCAAGTATCCCAGACATAATGGAACAACTTCAGTTTATTGGAGTTAAAGAAATATACAGACCAGTGAGGTAAGCAAGGTGGTTTCATAGGCTGAGGTGGTGCAAAACTATATATCGCATTTGATATATCACTCATTGGAGAGAAGGCAGTCCTTAAGATATGCAATACTTAACATAATCAATGTATTAAAATTTGGAGGTGTGGGCAAGATGCACCATGCTTCACATGCTCTAGAGCAGTGGTTTTCAACCAGTATGCCATGGCACCTTGAGGTGCCTTGAAGGATAGCCAGGGGTGCTGCGAGCAACAGTGGCCTCTGTCCCTCTTTCCTTCGCTCCCTCTTCTGATGTTCTCTCATGTCTCTGCCTCCCAAAGGCTTGTGCAGCTGTTTGTTGCATCAGCCCTGGTGCCTCTGAGGCTGGCCAGAGATGCTGGTTGCCAGGAGCTGAGGCGGCCTCGGAGTAAGCGTGCAAGCAGGCAAGGGAGCCCAGCCAGCTAGACCACCAGCCCTTGCTGTTGGGAATGGACATACAAGTGGGAGGCCGGGCAGACAGGTGGTGCACTAGCTTTTCTTGTGCTTGCTGTGTGCAAGGCCCGCCTGGGAGCTGAGTGCCCAGTGCTGAAAGGTAGCCTTTCCACCATGCAGGCCCAGCAGTGCCTGCTGCCTCCCAAGGTTAGGGGGTAGCCTCACATTCACCTTTGGCCAGTCTCCATTGGGCCACTAAGGCTGAGGACATCCTCTTCCCAGGCCGCTGTGGGGCAGGGGGACAGCTCAGAGACCAGGAGTGGCAACAGCGACTGCCCAGAGGACTCCCAAGTAGAGGGGAGAGGAGAGAAAGTTGAAGGAACATTCTACAAGGGAGGGTGTTCAAAAAAGAGTGAGAGGCTGCTAGTTCTGTAGGTAAGGGGTGATATAACTGGGCTCCTGAGCCCCACAGGGGGGATGCAGAAAGAATGTAGTTGGTCAAGGGAGCCATGGACTCAAAAAGGTTGAAAACCTCTGATCTATAGTGTTCCCTCTTCCATAGGTTGGACAGGGACTCATGTGCAGGCTTCCTGGTTAAGGGATGCATTTCCTGCATAACGGTTGGCTCATTGGAACTTTTCATTATAAATATTGACAAGAATGGATGCATTAGTCATTCTGTTGTTGCTGGTATTAATACAGTAATACCACAGCAGATAAAAATATATTTTTCTTTCAGAGAGGCAGCATTCTAAATATTTGGTACTATTATTGTAGTAATGGTGGGTTTTGTTTCATTTTGCTTTTAATTCAGGACTTGGCCATTCATTATCAAGAGTCCAAAACAATACAAAAACCTGTCTTTCATGGATGCAATGAACAAGTTTAAATGGTCCAAAGAACAGGGCCTTTCCTACAATGACTTTGTTCTTAGGTTACCAGTGAATGTAAGATGTACCAAGACTGACAATGCAGAGTGGACAGTAAGTGCAATCCTTAAAAAAACAAACCAATAACTGCTTGAACTACTGGTAATCTGTATATTTTATTAATGTGTCGTGGTTGTAAGTTGGAAAGGGTGATTGGATTGCATCAGATATTTTAATTATTATTTATTTCATTTATGAATCATTTATTATGAGGAATGCCAAAGTGATTTACAATAAAATGGCATATATATATATATAACAGTTCTCTATATCAGGGATGTCCAACTTCCAAGAGACGGCGATCTACTCACACGATTAAAACCTGGCAGTGATCTACCCCTTTTCCTTGGGGTTCAGGTCAAAGTTCTTGAGATTTTTTTTAGGGAAAATCCTCCCATTTGGGGGGGGGGATTCAGGTCAAATTTGTTGAACTTTTTTTAGAGAAGATCCTCCCTTTTTTAAGGGGTTCAGGTCAATGTTGTTGAGCCTTTTTTAGGGAGGTAATATTTGTTAATTTAGGGGCTTAGGTCAAATAGCTAAAAAAACGGTGCTCACCAAGAGTTTGCTACTGAGACACTCAGCCTCGCAGTGAAAACTTCTCGCAAAGGACTTCTGCTTCAGCGAGGGGGCAGGGACGGATGAAGGAGCCAGCAGTCTACTGCTGTCTATCAAAACATCCCAGGGATCGACCAGTCTATCCCGAACAACCTGTTGGACATCCCTGCTCTATATAAAATCTATTCATGTCCAGAACAGATACCAACCAGGATAAAGGCACCTGTCTGATAGGCAGTGGGAGGGAGTTCCAAAGGGCAGATGCCACCATGCTAAATCACACCACAAATCATCATGAAGGAGGGGTTGTAACTCAGTAGTCAAAATGCATCCTTTAACAATGTAAGAATTGACTTGCCTGATCAAACCATCTAGTTCAGTTTTCTGTGGAACATATTGGACAATCATATCTGAGATTAATAAGGCAATATATGAATGAGCCATTTGAGTTTGCACCCAGCTCCATCACTCCTCTCTTTGCATGAGTGAGTGAACAAACCAGGAAGTCTTCCATTAACTATTCTTTCCCATTTCCTTCCAACTGGTTAATGGCATTAGAACAAACCAGGATAGGAAGCTGTGGTTGAAGTCTGATTAATATCCTGATTTGTTTGAAAGCCGTTTACTATCATTTCCCAGTTCAGACAAAACAGGAAAGTATCATTAATGAAAGACTTGCTTGCTTTCCTGTCAGATGGTGTGAAGACTGAAGCAAAAGGTGCTTTAAAAGGGCTCACTTATATCTTGGCTGAATATACTGATTTGGTGTATGAATGGTCTTGGGGATTTGCAAAGTACTTTAGTAACCACAAATTCTATAAAGGAGGGATAATGCAAAGTCTTATCAAGACACCTAGTACTCTCAGCAGCTAGAAGGTAGCAAGAATTTAGATAATAGATATTAAGGGCATTAAGAAAGTAACTAGCTGTTGATTACGGCCATCGGGTTTAGTTGGGATGAATAAATCTGTGTAAATAAGTGTAAATGCTTAATAATAATAAAAAATTGCCAGAGTATTCTCTGTTGTTGGTACTGGTGCTTACTTAGATCAGGATTTCCCAAACTTGGCCCTCCAGCTGTTTTTGGACTACAATGCCCATCATCCCTAGCAGGACCAGTGGTTAGGGATGATGGGAACTGTACTCCAAAAACAGCTGAAGTTTGGATCTGCACCCTGACTTAAACTATAATACATAAATAATATAGATAAGGCACAGATGTCAGCTAAATTCTTTATAGAGCCCAGTAGTATATGCAGCTTATAATTTTATTTCATTTTAAATTTCAGATACAAGGAATGATAACTTCACCACCTCAAATAGAAAGACCATACAGGACAGAACCAATTGTCTGTAGTTCAACTTCCTGCTTAAACTGCAATCTGTTTTTAACTCTATTGATTGTTCTGTACACGTCAACCACTGCTGCAAGAAAGAGTGGGCCTTTTGTATAATAACTCTGATTGTACTCACTTTCATTTTTTTGTGCCATGCAAGTCCTGAAATGTTTGCACTGTTGCTCTTGTAGATTTATTTTTTTACATATTAATAAACTAAATTCATTTCAAAATAGTGTTCACCTCATTTGAAAGGGGGGGATATTTCTTTTTTGCAATCTAAATTGATTGGTATTGTTTCATTTTATTCATCCTGGCACATCACACCATGAGAAAAGCTGCTCTGTATTTGGATACCATTGTAATAAACTAAACTTTATCTATGTAACCTTAATAATCATGAAGTTTGTTGAATTATTTCACCTCTACTCTTGAAAAATGTAAGTTAAAAAGGTGATTTGCTGTAGAGCTGGATCTTGCCAGTGCCATATTAGTTCTGCAAACTTTTTTACTCCTTCAACAAAAGCCATAAAAGTGTTGTAAATCACAAACATGAATGAAGCAGAATCACAGAAGTCTGTTTCTGTGATACTGGCTGGTTATTATCCATATAAGAGGTCCTGTGTCTGTGTGTGGGGAAAAACCTTCACTGAGATTAGCAATTTACCCTGATATTCTGGTCTGCCATTCAAGTGTACGGTCATAATGTGTGACTTTATGCATTAAAACTTGCCAGCTTACTTGACATGATAAATACTATTTGCTTCATTTGGCCATAAATGGAAATGCTATTTTAGACAACTTTTATAAATGTTTACTTGGAAGGAATCCCATTGATCTGAGGTAAATGTACTTCCCAGTAAACATGCTTAGCAGATTGCAGCCATTCAAACAAATGTTCTCACTTCACTTTTCCAATGGTTTGGGAGAAATTTACAGTTTAGATACCTTACCTTTGATTTCCTGTTTACTTTTCACTGCTAGCCATATGAGAAAAAGCTTCTACGCTTTCTGAACAGCTATGCAAATGGTTACAAAGTAGGTACAAGTAGGTGTGTTTTACCAAATATGGCCTTTCATTGCTTGGTAAATGTGTGTTTATGGCAGAAGGCCTTTGTTGACTTGGTTTGGAATAAATATAACAAAGCCCTATTCCTTTTTCATGAGCAGTCAACCTATCAGAATATGAACAAATGCAACTTTGTTGTTACCAACCATTCTGTTTTGGTTCTGAGATAATGGAAAGCCATTCAGGCAAAAGGCATTTAGAAGATAAAACTCCTAACGTTGATAGCAAGCAGCACTGGATCGTTTATGCTTTGACGGCATCAGGCTTTTTTAAGATCACACCTGGCAAAGAAATAGAAGTCTGATTCAGCAATATATGCAAACATGCGCAAAAGGACATTTCTAACAAAACAAAATGGAAGCAAATGTGTAAATACTAAATTCCCAGCAATGGAAGGAAAGAGCTGGAAATCAGGATACAGACTGCCAAAAATCGAAACCCAGGTGGAAACGGAATATGTTGGACCTAAATGCAACAGTGAGAACAAAAAGGTAAGAACTCGTCGCCTGACATCCTTTGACCTTGCACACTTGTACAAAAACAGGCAGTAAAGTATAACGTCTGTCAATTGCTTGTTCAGTTGTCTATTGGCTTGTACAGTTTTGGCTCCTGCCAACCTAGCAGTTCGAAAGCAGGTCAAAGTGCAAGTAGATAAATAGGTACCTCTCCGGCGGGAAGGTAAATGGCGTTTCCGTGCGCTGCTCTGGTTTGCCAGAAGCGGCTTAGTCATGCTGGCCACATGACCCGGAAGCTGTACGCCGGCTCCCTCGGCCAATAAAGCGAGATGAGCGCTGCAACCCCAGTCGGCCACGACTGGACCTAATGGTCAGGGGTCCCTTTACCTTTACCCTACAGTTTTGGCATACTAAATCTACATCCCTTTACAACAGCTGTGAGTAATAAACATTGGTAAGTACAGTTCAGAAACAGTGCCTATGGGAAAGGAGCATAATGGAACATGTTTGTGTATGATTAGCATAGATGGACTTTTGTTTCTCCACACACACACCGGCACTGAACTCTCCTATAGAAACAGCACAGAGGATGAGGCACTAGAGACCTCACCTGAATGTTAATGTCACACCCATATTGGAGTAACTGTTAGGCCACGGTAGCAGCCCCAGAGCAGTGCACAGCAGAGGAGAGAGAGGAGATCCTTCCATCAGACAAACAGAAATGCTTTCAGTGACAGAGCAATCTTCTTACGGTTATGTTGAATTCCTCCCAGAGCTCTGTCCCACTTAATTCAAGCACAGATTTGAAGCAGATAAGAGTTGTGTACAGTCATACCTTGGTTTTTGAACAGCTTAGTTCTCAAACGTTTCAGCTCCTGAACGCTGCAAACCCAGAAGTGACTGTTCTGGTTATTTTGGGAAGCTGAACATCTGACAGGGCTTCCAATTGGCTGCAGAAGTTTCCAAACGTTTTGGAAGTCGAACGGACTTCCGGAACGGATTCCGTTCGACTTCCAAGGTACGACTGCGTTTTACAGTTAACTTTAGTGTGCACTTTCATTCCTCACTTTTCTCAATCCAGAAAACAAAACTGGCACAAGGGTTTCGATCAGAGGAAATATTAATGCAAAATAAATGCAAAGATGTAATCTTGCATCATGGGATGGGGAATGCCACCTTCAACTTCCTTAAAACTTGTTTATCCCTGGCCCATGCTGGGTCAGCTAGTATGATACCACAGAAACAAACAAATCGGTCCTTGGAGAGAGGCTGAGATATCTGATGAATACAGTCATGATATGGGTCTGATGTTGTCTGCTTTTTTAGAGCCTTTCAGCATGTCCTTAAATCTTGTCAGAATCTCAGCAGATGTTAACTTAAAATAATTCATTCTTTTCTTTCTTTAGGTTCATGGTTGCTTTTCCTACTTGTGGGGAGATATTTCAAGGTATGGCTGTGATGTGATAATACTACATTGTGATAATACAACATTAGATTCTTGTTGGGATAAAAAAAGGGTCTTCCTTTTCATCATGTTTATATAGTAGAACTCCTTACCTGGGAGGTTTTTTTTAAATCCCCAGTCTCCTTGCTGATTGGCCAAGATATTTATATTCTGACAGGCATTTGACCTGCAATGTTAACTTGTTAATGTACAAGTTTCCAAAAGATACATAAAAAGAAATATTGGTCCTTCAGTCCATAATAAAAATAAAATAAAATGTCCTTTTCCATTATTATTTGCAATTTCAGCTAAATTTTATAATGTTCCCAACAGTAAATGGATTGATATCCTGTATTTAGTTACTGGTGTAATAAATAAACAAGACTCCACTTCTCAATAAATGGATTGTGATGCTTTTTCCTCTCACATTCTAACCACATTTAACAACTTACATATCTGAACTATGTCCCCTGGTTTTAATAACCAATCGTCCAATGTAGGAGGGTTAGGCTTTTTCCAGTTGGGACTGATTACCATCCACACACTTCTCTGTAAGTGAATAACCATCTCTCTGGCTTCTATGTGAACCATATAATAAACATAATGAAACTGGGTAACCAAAGGATTCCTAGGAAAAGCATATTCTGTGAATTATTCAATTTCATGAATTGCCATAAGCCAAAAGGACCATATATTCTTGACAGGACTAGACCAAATGATTTACATCTCCAACTGTGTTTGTTAGAGCCATTATAAATACTGTATGATTATCCCTTTGAGGAGTTAAGCACCAATGAAAAAGCAGCTTGTACACGTTTTCTTTCAGACTTATACTTACCAGGTTTGGCACATATTTCCACAAATCATTACAGTTATTCATTTGAAATTTCAAAGCTCAGGCCTTTCATCCATCTTGTAATGTTACATATAATGAAGAAGAAAAGACTCTTCAAGATCATTTTGTCCAAGTTTAGTTGAATTTAAGCCTTTGACAATAACCCTTGAGATTAATTTCCTCTTTGTATTACTCCGCACTGCTTACATTTTGTCAGGATTCAAAAGCCTTATCAGATTCCTGTCTGTATTTATTTATGCTATACATAATCCTGAGGGCAGTGTTAACATTGGCAAGAATTAGGTCAAATGCCATTTGTGCTTTTAAATTGGAATTTCTTAACATTTGTGTTCTAAAGCTACTTCTCATGAGCCTGACACTGCAGTGATGGTGGGATTTTGATTGTGTGATTATATTCAGTAGCAGAGCACATGATAGGAAAGAAATCACTTTAGATATTTTTAATATTCCCCCACCCTTAAAAATGGATGTAACGGTTCAACTGGCTGGTGGTGTAACGTCAGATACAAAATCAAGTCACAAATACAAGAGTCCAAATAATATGAGTATAGCTATTCTTCTGGACCAGGAAGTTACTTTTGGCTGAGTCGCCAGGGACAGAATCGGGGAAGGAGGAAGCATACAGGTGCCACCTGCTCTGAAAGTTTGTTTAGCAACCAGGCATTTTCAGGGAAGTAATGCCGGATAGTCTTTCTTTCTGTTGGTTTTACAGATTGAATGCAGTTTCATCATTTTAGATTAGTATTTTGTATTTTCTTTGTATTTCTCTTATGTGCATGTTAGCATGAGGAACAGAATCACATCCGTTGGCCCTCCCTCTGTTTAAATTTGCAGCGATGTCTGAAAGTGCATGGATATAACTGATGTTGCTAGTTTAGTTGAAAGTAGCTCTTTACCACTTTCTTTTGCTGCAACTGTTAAAATAAACACAGTTCACAGACAGCTAACTCAGAAGCAGCTTTGTCATAATCGAGATGTGTATTCAATCCGTTGCTATTTAACTTGCTATTATGTTGTTCTATTATTTCCCAGTGGTTATTATAGTAACCAGCCATTACAGCCACCAGATCTACAGATATAGAAACATTTATTGACTCATTAAAATGATCAGTTTTGCTTTCAACAGTGTTTCTTTTGGCTGCATTTATGCTCCCCTTCCCCCTGTTTCTAATGTCACTAGGCTTTGAATAATCTCTTGCTAAGGGAATCTTGTGATTCCACATTGTTTCCATATATAAATTACTCCAGTTCCAGGAAGAAAATTTCAGTATACCAAGACTGTAGAAAATCTCCACCGGTCATTCAGGATTTGGTATGGGGGGCGGCATTCTCAGGTGTTTTTTGAGAGCAGTATGACACCAGGGAGCAGGGAGCGCTATGGTCTAAACAACTGAGCCTCTTGGGCTGGCCAATCGGAAGGTTGGCAGTTCGAATCCCCACGACAGAGTGAGCTCCCGTTGCTCTGTCCCAGCTCCTGCCAACCTAGCAGTTCGAAAGCATACCAGTGCAAGTAGATAAATAGGTACCGCTGTGGCGGGAAGATAAATGGGGTTTCCATGCGCTCTGGC